TGGATTTGACTTGCATAAAAAATATGGTGCATATTCCTGCTGCTCTTCATATTAGAATACACAGATAAATATGCATTGATATGTGTAATCAACACATGTGATTCATTTACGCTTGATTCACTTGCAAAACAATCCCCCACGAAATAATGTTGGATCTTCATATCCCCAAGTTATGAATGATGCGGCTTCATTTAAAACATATTTCTCACACTGAATAGAGTATTCATTATAAGTGACCTTATGATTAGAACAAACAACAATTGATATGAAATCATCAGCATTGTAATCAAAATCGAGTTCATTTAGTACCCATGCTTCGCGATGAACAAGTTTCCCGCAAGAAATAAATGCATTATGAGGATAAATAATATATATTGTATGACATCAGGACTTAATTCTTTTGAAATATTTCCATCAAATTTATTAAGAATGTATAATATTTGAAAAGAATTTGAATTATCGTATGAACTAGGAATCCCAGAATTAACGCAATTGAATCAAGAATTACGACACAAGCACGAACGAATGTATTGTATTTAGAATTCTAAATCGAGCATTCAGCAAGTACAATTGAACCATTAGTTCATTTAAACACCACAGAATGTCATTGGAGAGTGATTGATCATTAAAGGAATCAACATCTATCAAAACTGCATCAGGTTTCCTTGAGAGTTGCATAGGGAGGCGAAATAGACTTTTCTGATGAAACCATAGATTTTAATAAAATGTATCCTTCTTTTTCAATGGATTTGAGGAAATGCGCTAAAATATTACCATCCTCTACATCATCCTTGGTCATAGCTCAGAGTCCGAACTTTTCCGAGTGATCCTATAGCGGCTCATGTGCAAATGAGTTTGTTCTCATTTAACTCAGTTAAGCCATTTTGCTAACTTATTTAGCGGACAAAGTCATCCGCACTATAACAACTTATTGTACTCTTATTATTTTGTGCTTGTATGAAATACGTATGCTTGAATATTGCTTACGGCCTACGCATTTATTCACTCTGCTATTCTTACTACTAATTGCTTATTGGATTCGATTACTCATTCATTTCACTAGGCATATATATGTCCATGTTATTCATATTCAACATTCACACACTCTTGTCTCGCTCTTGCTCTCGCTCGCTTGTTTGCCTTTCGGCACAACCCTTCTATGCTTGTTTAACGCATCTGTACATTTGGATATATGTATGGTCTCGCAATAAACGTAATCAACACTTCGTATATGCCTTCTGATTAATATACCGTTGGGACGTTTTATAGAACGGTTATCAAGTCGAGCTGTATACGAAGTTTAAGGATTATATCGAATACCAACCACCACAATCCTCAAGAGCATCAAAGTCTGAATGTATGTCCAACCATTCAATCGCAGGCTCCATCGTGACGCCAATGGGATGGTTAGAAGTATTCGAATCGCCAATACAAACTAGAAATCCCAGAAATAACACAACTGAATCAAGAAGCACTAGATAAGCACGAACTAATGTGCTGTATTTGGAATTCGAAAACAAGCATTCAAAAAGTACAAAGGGATCGTTAGTTCGTACAGACACCACAGTGACCTATTCTAATCCGGTGACAAAGTCCACTCACTGTTTAAATACAGTTCAAATAATGAAACAAAATTTCTTGAGGTTTGCTCTCAGAAATATGAGCAAGGCAGGAACGACAGTACTTAGAGAATATGTTAATTTCACTGAATAATACTTTTGAATAAATAGAGAATTATGAATCGTATCTATACTTAGGTGGAAAATACTGAAAAAGGTTAACATACACAAAGAATAGGATGCTTTGCGTTTCGTGCAAACCAATTAGTTTTTCGTGAATAAAATGAAACGGTAGTATCTATTGTTACAGGTCTCTGTTTATCTTCCATCGGTTTCTTACCAAGGACGACGGTAGAATCCGTTGGTACTTGGAAGAAAAAGTATATTGAATTATATGTTGAGATTGGAGAATGTGAGACACTGAAGTTGTCTTTTTAAAGGAGAAATAGCGTGTAGGATTGGGTCGGACAATATTGATTGATCTGTAGTGACCTACTTTTATCAAGAGAACGTGATTGGTTTGATGGAAACAATTATTATTATAACCAGTTGTACCAGTGATTGTTTTACTGTACTCGCTTGTTTAACTGTACTGAAGACATTATTCCTTCCGTTGATTGTGACATTGCACGAACTCGGTTACACTCAGTAACCACACTTGTAACCTGGCACGATCTCGGTATTCTTTCGATACCACGAGATCGCCAACAAATACATCTCGACTACAGCCATCAATTGACTTCTGATATTTTGCCTACGGGGTATCTTACCGGTTAACTGGTACGTAGTTTTCCCGTAGTGGTGATCATAGTCAACCGCGACTCGACGCCACTCTACATATTGAACGCCTTCTGTTAGCAATGTACAGTAAGATTAGCAAAGATAGTAATAATATTAACTGTTTACAAAACTGCTTGCTTTAACAAATTATCTTCATAGACTGAAGAAACTGTAGATTGGATATGTACAAAAAGAAAGCCTAGGCAATCTATTGATAAGTACCTAAGGTAAAGTACCAAAAAATGTTCCACAAAATCAGCTCGTTCCAAAACTTCAAGTATGAATTGAATGCAAGCTCCTATCTAGATGATTATTCCGCTTGATAATAAATGACTGGACATATTTAATACGTAACTAAATATGTTCAGGGAAGCATTACACTGGATTACAACAACCAAGAAGACAATATTGTTTTCTAAAAAAGACATAAAATGACTCGGGAATTTCAATATCACTGAAGATTTCTGACACATTATATCTGACGAAGCTGATGATATATTGCTTCATTTGGTCCCTTTACATTTATATCCATCATAACTTGTATTCCAGAAACTTGAGAAATAGACTTATCATAATATTTCGAATCTCACATTACAGAGATATCTATTCTTAAAGAACAGAATCATGTTAAGTAAATGTAACAGGATTTACCTCATATATCCTAAATAGACCAAGTGCCTCTTGGCCTTGTTATCTTGATATTTTTAGCGGTTTGTTACTGTTTAAATAGAGAAAATCATGGTAAAATCCCTTTATTTGCTAGGGCTTGCATCGACTGATAAGAAAGCAGTTCTTCGCTAAGCCGCTATTGGTTATTTCTCATTATTGTGTATCAAACCAATGATCTATTTCGCCAATAATTTAGCGACCCTGAACAATGACCAAAAAATAGCAACTCCTTTTGGCTCATGAGCTATATTCAAACCAGTGTCCAATAAGAAGATTAAGTTCACAAACAGATTCTTTTTGTTGTCTAGCATTCTTAATCATCAAAACTCATATGATAATATGTATTTAGTACTTGACCATACGGCGAATCGAGTGAGAATTTATAATGGGTACAGAATTGAGTCATAAGTGGCACAAAACCCCGATATAGCAGTTAAGGCGAAGAATATCTTCGTATCTTGCATAATAGCTCTGATGGATTCCCTAAAAACCTACTTTTGTAAACTATAGTCGATAGAATGATCATTTGGTAGCAAATGTCCACAAAAGAAAGAGTTTGGAGGGCATCTGTCGAAAAAACTCAGAATATTCCTCGAAAAAATTCCAGAGAGGCCCTGAAAACTCTAGGAAACATTTCATCCAGTCAGCATTGAAGCTTCACAGGAACATCTACAACGTAAAGTCATGTGTCATATTTCTGAATGGATTACCTATCCTACTACTGTTTAATAGGGTTCCAGGACCTTCCAGAAACCCAAGATCATCTGAAATGCTATAAATAGCCTCAATTTTCTGTACATAAACTAACCTTTGAGTAAAGCGTTCTTTCCACATTTCGCGCCTTTTCTCTCGTGTACAAGTTGTCATGTAGAGTTAGCCTGGGGTTATTAGAAGAGCTTAGGAAACTGATTCAAGCGTTCATTTAGAAGATTTATTAGTATCGAGCAGTGTCATTGACTTCTTTTCCCTTAATATGAATTATTAACATGGTCAAGCATCCGAACAACTGCTTGAGGCGCCCCTTCACTATGCTCGATAGCCAAACTATTAATCTCACTCTCATTTATTTCTGAATGTGAATAAATATAATATTTACTCCAGCGAGTGCTGTCTTTATCTTCACCAAGGATATTTTGGGTTTAGATATATGACTTGAGTAAAATATTTAGAGTAGATTGGTATCAGGATTATTAGATCCTACTTTATGAATTATATTCATTGATCATGAATAATTCCGATGTGAGTCCGTTTGAGATAATGGTGTGGCGATTGCATGCTGTCTTCTTTTCTAGTTATTTTTGGTACAGTTTACCGATTTCCCGCTACAAACTATCTAAAGCGCTTTGTTACAACGGATGCTATCAAATTTATCATGTTTCTTTCTTAGTTTTATAGTCACATAATCACCTTCTTCAATAAGTTTAATGAGAAAAGCAAAATACGTTGTGTTTCATTTCTTTCATTCATTGTTGCTAAGCCATTTACTTCTTTTAGTTATATATTTTACAAGTTGACATAGATCTATCTCACGGAATTATCAATAACATACTTCTAAGTTAATAAATTTCGTTAACTTCATCAAATGAATTGACTAAATGGTTGAAGGAATCAACGTAGATTTCTATGAAACTAACTTTTTGTTTCTGGAGATTGTGGTCTAGAATTTCTTAAAAATCTCACAATTTAGTATCATAAATAATTATATAGTTAGATATTAACACTCAATGGGTTATAATTAAAAATAACTACCAGTGAAATTGATGAACTACATTTTTTTTGAGTTCTTTTTACGGTATCACAAACTGAATTAATGAAACATTTGATTGTAATAAATACTTGAGTTCATTTATCCTGCACTTCATAAATGGATACATATTTAGAAATACAAAGTAAAAGTTATGAATACATAACTTGAAACTTCTCATGTGTTCAACGTAAACTGTGTACAAGGAGAGGAAGTTTGAACTGGTTTTACCAGCTTTAAAAGTCACTTCATTTGCACTGTATGATGGGAGATAGAATAATTAGTTTCATTCTGTTGATTTTATCTGTTGAAGGAAAATAACAAAAACAATTTATATGCTAAACATCTTCCTAAAAAACCATAAGGTTTTTCTTCACTTAGGTGTGAAAAGTAGTTAAAATTATGAACTGAGTACACTTTGCTGTGAACGGAATCTAGTTCATAATAAGGTACTAATCAAACGACAAATGAGTATTTAACTATATATGTAACGCAAAACCTAACCCACGTTTATTTTGTTGTACAACTTGTAGCATGTAAATTAACTTCTGTTTCATTTGAATGTGCGGATTTTTCACTCATTTGATTAATAATAAAGCACAGGACTAACAATCCTCCCGGTCTTTTCCAAAATTAACTTGTTTGTCATAAATGTTCTAAAAATATAGAAATTAGGGTTGAAAATAAACTTATTTTACCACAAGGTTTCAAAAAGTAAATACTGACTCGTTGACCACGTGTCTTATCGCCTGAGCTACAGAATGCAGATATAGACCATGTCATATTTTTCGAAAACCAGTCATCATTATTAAAGCTCAATTTCATGTGAATGTAAAAAATCTCTTACAATAAAATGAAAAAAATAATATCATGTAAATAGATAATTCTTACTTTTAAAAGTAACCTTCTATATATATAGAAGGATACGGATTAATGGTAAATTCTAATATTTATCCCTTACTTGCTAATGTCTCTGTTAAGAAAGCCTTACATAGGATATACATATTTCTAAAATCACACACTGGCTTGAAGCCTTTTTAAAACTTAATTCAGACTTCGAGATCTCTACAGGCAAACAGAAGGTGGAGCGATGAGACCTACAGTACCTTCAATTGTTGCATACTTTTTATGGATCTATTGGAAACAACTTTGACTTCGAAATGTTCTTTCTCATCCAAATATTAGTTACAGTATGTAGATAACACCTTTCAAATTAGAAAGCGGGATGGATTAGACAGACATTCTGAAAATATCAACTGTATATCAGATAGTACAAGTTCATCAATGACACCAAATTTGTTGACCCAAATAAGCATTTCTTGACTGTTTATGTGAAATATAATATAATAATTGATTATTAAGTGAATATATTCCTAAAGTCATAGCATTCTCAGAAATATCCAGGTTACAGATCAGAAAATGATCTGTCAGTAATATTGAGTTATTAAAAATCTGATAAACAGAGTTCATCAACTTGTTATAGAACTGAGAAACAGATAAACCGGGTAAAACTTAGTTGTACCAACAATGACGATAGATAGCTATCTTAAAAACTGTGAAACGAATAGGTAAGAAGTTTGAGAAAAAAGAAGGATCAACAGAAAGAATTTATCAACTTGATGACTATCCCATACCTGAAAGGAACATCAAAAGAGATTGGGAAAATCATAAAAACTATATTAATAAAAGTTTGAGGTAGAGCCCGTGGAAGGATGACATAAATGCCTACGATATCAAAAATACTAACTGCAATGCCGTATATGTAGGTGAGACATCGCAATAATTGAACGCAAGGTAAAGGGACACGAACTACACTTGAAGCATATTCCCCAAACAACTTGAAGACAGAATAGTGATATTATTATATTCAAAAGAAACGAGATAAATAGTCGGCTGGACAAAAATCTTCCCGGGAGATGTTAAATGGTCGGAAGTAATCTATAAGAAGCCCTAAACCTGAGTTTTTTGTTATTTGGCACTCGTTGGCAAAGTGTACCTGTAGTCTTGAAGGAACTAATGCTTCCTGGTGGATTCGAAGTCGCGTATATATATGGGCAAACCCAAACAACCAAAGTATATGAGATGGGGTAAAATCAGCTGCATCATAGCAACTATTGATTAATAAGTGAATATAGATTCAATATACTACTTCTGTTTGATTTCATGTTATGTGGAGAACAGTAGTGCACACCCATTCGTTTTAATCACTCACGTTTAGATATGTTTTAAAAAACCAGGCTTATTAACTTTCATTCCAATTACTCTCTGAAAAGTTTCATTTGTGACTATCAATCAGACTGACCGATTTTATCCGGACAATAGCTCAAGGCGATATATTTGACCAATGGTTTTTTGCACGCCATATCTAGACACTTCTACATACATTTCCTCTCTTATCACAATTTCATATTTTAAACTAAATAATTTGACCACACTGTCGAGCAAAACGTTGGAGTTATCCTTATTTTTAATCGCAAATATAAATTCCTTAATATCACTACTTATAATGTGCAGACGAAAAATTTGTTTCATAATACGTTATTAAATATCATATGTTTTACTATATATATTGGATTAAGTTTTGCAATTATCTGATCAGTACGGAGAACAAGATAGAATAATGTAAATCTATGTCATTTTGAGGACTCTCATCAGCTGTTTGCAACCTGATAGTCAAAACTAAATAATATAAAGAATATCAAAATGTTTTAGTGGAATGGGTGAAAAGTTTCCCTGATACTGTCAAACTGAATTCCGTAACCAGTGGCAATTAAATTCCTGTTTCTTTATGTCGTCCATATTGAAAAGATGATTAGGTGGTTATTCTCTGGAAACATAATGACTAATTAGAGATGCTGTGCATAGGAAAAGATTTTATTCTTGTATTGATAATCGTGCGAACAATATCGTAAGAGCTGAAAATGTTTAGGAAAATAGTACATGTTTATCAAGCTAGCACCAAAATTATCAAGGTAAAATATATATTCACTCCTTACTTAGAAATCGTGTGTCATTAGATGGCTGTGTTCTTTCAACTTAATGTCATTTTAAATGCAACTGTGATCTGTTGCTATCAATGGTATTGTAGATATATTTCCTTTCCTAAGTGTAGTATTCTTTTTATTTGAATCATCTGGTTCTATAGAACCATTGCGTATAAGTGGAATATTTCTTGGTTCTGATTGACGCTCATAAGCTTTCGATTTTTCATGAACGACTGATGAGTGATTGCTGTTTATAGTGTTGGGATCTGACTGTTGTTTTGGACCAAACACTACCGATGCTGTGTAAACTAATGCAGGTGTTGGCGATAAGTCGCTTGTTGGAGATAATTTCTGTTTTATTGTTTTGGCTGAAGGCTTTATAGATTCTCTGTATGGCTTGACAAAAGTGTTCTGTCCCGATTCTTGAGGTTCTTCTAATTGACAGGGTTCACTTAGTGGACTAAACTTAGGCCCGTTTTTTCTATGGTTTTCATGCTTTGGTAACATTCATGATAAAGTAATTTGTTTGAATATGCAGAGTCATCTAACTTGATCAAATTTTCACGACGGTAATCTGATACTTTGGATGATCGAAGGCTTCCTACAGCATAACCGTTGTTTTTCGCATTAGGTCTACAAAGTAAATCAGGTGAAGGGAGAGGTGTGTGGATTGATGCATTTGGTGCAGGTAAATTTCCTTTTTCTGTCCAACTGCACTGAATGGCTTCCTTTTCCGTTGACTTATTCATTTCCTGAAGTTGATCATGTGCCATAATCTGTGACTCACTGGGAATTTTCTTTTTGAAAAATGAAATCCTTTTACCGGAAGACTGCAAAGATAAACATAATATGTGGATAAAAAATTAAGCAGTTATTCAAGCTGTCAAAAATATTAGTCATATCTATGGAATAGAAGATTTAGCAACGAAGTATCAATATAACTTCTGTAATCATGTTTTGTCCATTGACTCAGCATATATGTATACCGTGTGTATGTAACTAATAGTGCTGGGGTATGAGACCAGATGCATTACCTACAATTAACATTAAACTTTATTATTGTCTATTGAACTCCTAATATTATCATTAATAAGACCAGAATATTATAGACAGAATACAATTGAAAATAAATGGCTTTAATTTAATCTAATTATTATAAATTTTGTTGAGATTACGAAATGACTTAAGTTAGGCAACTGTTTAAAACCCCGAAGCTGTGAATGGTCACTTCGTCGAAGTATGGGACTTCTCATCAATGAGAAACCATGATCCGCAACCGTAAACCAAACTCCGAACCTTTGATCTCACGTGAACGCTCATTCGATATTTAAAAACGGCTTATCTTGTTGTGATTGGTGAATTCTTAATTACCATCTAAATGTTTGTCTTAAAATTGAGGTGTTTTGATCTTTAACTTTCTATCGTCGCGATGTTCTCTTCCGTTGGCATTAACACTATGAAACGATTGAATGTGAACAGCTATAAGCTAGCCGAGAGAGGTCTTAAACATGTTAACTTCAATTAATAAGGCACATGTGAGACCATGACTAGTCCCACTCTCTTTTTACTGTTTATAACTGTTCAGTTTAATGCTACCTTTATTTGTGTCGAGAAGTTTAACTTGTATATCAACTCATGTGTGTTGATCACCAAGTGATATATATATATATATATATATATATATATATATATATATATATATATATATATATACTTTTAATATTTCCACGTCTTCCTAATTAGGCTCAACAGTGACGAATTCATAATTGTTGCTAATAATAATATCAAGTGAATTAGGTATTAGAAACATTATTTATGATGATATAAATTGACGATGGTTCCATCTATCTAAACGGAATATTCATTACTAAACAGATGAGATGTATGGTCCTGTTTATAGATTTGATCACAGATCATGGAACTGGTTAAATAAGAGCATTTGAATTTATAAGTACATGTTGAAGCTTCCATCTTGAGCTTATATAAAGTGATTACCAATGTAGACTACTTGTCCTGACTACTACTAAGTACAAAACACAAAATCAGTGGTCAACAATAAGTCAACGTAAAAAATATAAAGTTATTATGAATACCAGTTGTCGGAAAGGCCATATAGTTGTCAACAATTTTTGTGACTCACTGATCGAAAATCAATTTGAAAAATAGCTGTTATACCAAATTATTCACCGCTTGATATTAGGTTATAATCACTTACTGATCGATATTTTGTGAGGTCAACAGGACTGAAATTTTGATTTCGTGAAAACACCTTCAAATCTTTTGGCCTCGGTGGTTTAAAAGAACCTTCATTTTCAAAGTTTTGTGCAGATCTGTTCTGATGATTACACGAATAGGTATTACTGTTATTATTGTTATTAGTAATAGTAGCAGTAGATATAGTAGTAGTAGTAGTAGTAGCGACAGTATCATCATTATTATTTATACCTTTTTGAATAAATGGTGTATCGGTTAAATTCTTCTCTTTTGTAGAGTAATATTCGCCTCGGTGTGTACGCTGACAATTGATATTATTAACATTATTTAGTCCATTAAATTTCCGCTTTACAATTATAGGCGGTTTCTCATCATTCTTTAAACCATGATCAAAATGTCGTGAATAATTGGATGAATCATTATCATGATAACCGTTCGTAAACGGTAAACGAAAAAATAAATTCATTGACTTATTATTGATGGTCTTATTATTATTAATACTGTTAGTGTTACTACTATTATTGTTATTTCGGTTATATTGTTCTAGCAAATCCCGTTTTGTAGGAGACTCATGGAATTCACAACAACTGCAATGTTCACGTTTGTAATTTTCTGAATAATGTAAACCAACTGAGTTTGTACTTTGACTGTTACCATTATGATATTCTTTTCTTACAGATAGTCGGCGCTTTGAAGACTTAGTTAAATTTCTGGGTTTTGGTTTACGCGGAATAGATCGGTGAATAATGCTACTGGGCTCTAAACTACCACTTCGATGATTACGTCCACTTTTATGTCCAATTACAACAGATGTATAGCTGGGTATATGGAAGTGATGTGGACAGTCAAACACTGGTTGAACATCTAAGGAAGAAGTAGAGAATGAGTAAGAGGATGCAGATGATAGACAAGGACTATCTGTTGGTGATGTATTCATAGAATCGCTCACATCATTATGTGAATGGTAATCCATTTGTTCACAATAACAACAAGATGGGTAATTACTACAATTTACGCTGACTGGTATATTTGATGCAATAATATGATGTGATTTGCGGTTTGACGATTTGATATGCTTCCGTTGATATTCTTGAATATTACTTGAGGCACTTTCACTGGGAACTACACCTTTACTGACATCTTCAAAGCAAACAGAAGTAAAGTGATGTTCGGATGGCTTAGTATTAGTAATTTTGGAAAATGGTTCAAAAGAGTGAGCTTTCTGTTTTATACGTCTATATCCAGAAGGATTTGATACATCTATCAGACTCAAATCGTTGGTTTCTGTTCGAGATGAGTTGGGTTTGTTGATTTTAAGGTGTTCAACTGATTTATGACAGCTACAATTGCAATATTTAATGCGCTTTTTAAAGCGCGGAGTAATAACAGTTGAAAACATTTCGTAATACTTCTCGTCTTTTCTGTGATTCCTCTTAAACTTTGTTCCCCCTTCTAAGTAGCATAATTGACGCCATGGTAAAGAATGTTGTACCTCGTTTCTTGTGTTGAAGGGTGTTTTGCCAGCTGAATATTTTCGTAATGAAACTCTTTGAATTGAATCGATACATCCTAAATCTGAATAAGGTGAAGATGAAGATAGCGTAGATGACGATTCTGAATAAGTTGATGGTGAAGGAGATGTAGATTCACCTGAGCGGGTCAATGTTGTTAACGATTCTGGAGGAGTATTACAAGATGAAATCACATTTTTGCTCAATGTCCTTTGTGGCTGAGAATCGTGTGATATGCAATGATTACCATCATGATGTTCATGTGTAGATCTGCACAGATAATCTGGTAACTGTAGGAGAAAAACTGATAGCTGAAGGGTCAATAATCCAAAATAGACAAATTCAATAAAAAATAACCTATAAACATCGATAACATCCAAGACTTCAAACATTTTCAAGTAGATAGTTAAAATTAACTGACTGCTACCAACAGTTCAAAACATTTATACATAAGTACTTTTCTGCTTCAAATTCTTCTAATTGTACGCTAAATAGAGTTGAATTGCTTCTGTACTACATATTTTAACACCAAAAAAGGTGTATTGAGAGTTACTAGGTCAAATACGGTTGTATTTTTTGCTGAGATAAGTAATGTATTTGTCAAATAAAAAATGAAAGACAAGACTGTCTTTTTTCAGATGCTATTTAAACACAAACAATTAAAAATGTTATCAAATACATATGGAAAAAATATGGGATAGGGTTCGGTTTTAATAAACAGGTATCCTGAACTAAATAACCCCACATGTTGCTGGTTCAAAATATTCTTCAGGTGATTTGTCTGAAAAGCCTTTCATTACTGTAGCTGAAATGAGGTAGGATTTTGAGTTTGGTGTATTTTTGTAGCTATCTAACCATTTATAGTCATGATTGCCTTCGGTACATTAAATAAAAAACGTTTTTGGAGATGTAGTATTATAGGTTTTAACGTTACTGAAGTAGATATGATTATAGTATTACTGGAATCATGAATCGAGCTAAGTTAGACAACCATTTAAAATTTGGTAGCACTGGGTAGTTGATTCTGTTTGGTATGCAGTGTGCATCTCAGGACGTTGCAGACTGGGATCGAGTATTGTGCCTTCGGTCACGTCCGCAAACGCATAACCTCTAGACAACTGAGCCATTATCCAATAGTCTACAAGTCTAATTTCGGTCATTTCATGATATCACATGACACTCTTCCATTATCTTTGGTGGATACTGTTCTCACACTTAACACGGTTGTACTCCACTGGTCACGATTTCTCACTAGAACATCTAAAATTTGCTCTCAAAGCTAATCACTTGTGAGCACATGATAACTGTCAGTATGGAGTTGTGGAGAGCGTTAGGTTTTATCGAAATCACGAACCAATCTAGACGACCATCAAAAATCTGGAAGCACTGAACGGTCTTGTCGTCCTAGTATTGGTTGTGAACTGTCATGTTGAGGAGCTGCTTACTGGAAACGGTCGTTTAATGTTTCCAATATATCAATGCTTGTCTAACATAGTCGGTTCGTAATTTCGAAAAAAGTTTACAAACTTCATAATTTCATGCTGTCGATGATTACTTCAGTTGGTTTGTTTGATAAAACGTTCGGTGGATTAGAAAACATTATGAACTATATCACTGTGCTACCATCAACACTAACATTTGGATGGGAGGAGTTTACTAAGTAATCTTTGAGATTATTAGATATTCTTTACGAACAGTAAACATATGGACCTTAAATATCTACACATCTAATTAGTCAAGGATAATGTAGGTATTTCGTCAATCTTTTAATTAACTAGAAAGATGGGTTTCCATGTATTTTTTTAATCTGCTTTTGTGAATTATTGACTAATGGCAAGTAAGATTCACACAAGACCATTTACTACCTGTGAAAGAGCTAGCATAATCTTCAGTGGTTTACTCTATATGACTTTAAGACTAGAACACATAGACTTTAAACGTGAAGAAATTCCATCGGTTTGTAGTACTTGACTGAAAACAGTCAAAGAGTTGGTTGTGACTAGCAGTGCAACTAACTTACTGATGGTGATATTATGGGTAGATGTTCTGGTAGAAATGATAAATCTATTGTAGAGGTTGTACACTTTCACTAAAAGAAATATCTGAGACATATGTTACGCCTAATAAGCCACCAGTTGTCTCTATGCTATATACTAGTTATGGCCAAAGTTAACTGGGAAAAGAGAAACAAGTACCAAATCGACACGTGAGTTCCATCAATAAAATCATTGTGTTGATTTATTTAGTGTTTGAACGTACAGAATTCCTAGGTATTATTCTCAATATGACTATACCTATGTTTGCAGATGCTATCCAGTATAGCTAAAAATCAGTCAAAATGATTCAGATACGTCCAATTTTAATCTTTTAAATTTCGAAAATATCGTGCTCGATAATTTTTCACTTTCTTCTAGCTGCATTCATAAGGCTTGATTTTCTACTCATTTGTTCTCTTCCCGGTGATTTCCTCTCTCACTATTCCAATGTGAAATATATCATCCTGTACTAATTTAAAATTTATGCCATGTCATACGTTCTTCAGTTTTGTCTGCCTAATAACGAAAAACGTAATAGTAAGGAGGTGAATATTCGAAAGTGAATTCCGTAATCATTCAATAGTCTTCAAAAGAAATAAAAGCAAGAAGGAATTTGAATTACACGATAGGAACTAAAAATCTCTTGAACACGGTCTTCACTGTCCATAGAAATGTATACTAATTGAGAAAACATGAAATTTAGACATTTTGTAGTGTGTACCATAACATTTTCTCAGAAAACTATGGCTTCTCTTTACAAATCTACAACGTTAGTAATGCAAATGATAAGTATGAAAATAACCTACATAATTTTTCTTGTTCTTTTCACAAGATATCGCTTCGAGATTTTCATACTCTCCGATAACATGATGTCTTTGTGAGTTAAGATGATTACATTGAACTTTAGAACGCGGTTTATTTAAATATTCTTTAATTGAAAATGAAGTTCCTTTTTGTGTCATGCATAAATCAGGAGGCTGACCATAAATATTCAATTTATCTACATCTGTACAAGTTAAATCCTCGTGTAGACAAACTTCTGTATTGGAGTTGCTATCTTTATGGTCTTGAAGGTGATTTCCTTCTGTTATTGACCTTTGTTCTTGATCCCAAGATTTATTAGATGAATGACTTGTCATAGATTCTACACCAGGTTGGCTATCAGGATTTGTCAGATCTACTGATAAACCCATAGTTGCTTCTTCACTTCCTATACTACAATTCGTAAGTATAAGATTACCAGTGGAATAGTTACCACCACTGCTTGTACGCATTTCAAAACTTGACAGTACACGAAATGTTGCATTCGAGTCAATATCTGTTGAACTTGCTAAACTTAGCTAAATAAATAAAATGTTAAAAATGTAATGGTAGTTAGGAGAATTGTAATGATTACAATATTAGTATAGGGAAATAGATCGAGATTAAACTAAACTAGAATTAAGTGTATTTAATATTGTAAGCAGTTCGATCTTAACTAGTTTATGTTGAACAGGCCATTAGATGAACATTAATTACTCATTTTTCTAAATATATTATATTAAAAATAACCTGCAAAAATCATTCCTAATTCTAGACCTTTAAGGCCGCGAAAGTAATATTAATTTGACACGAAAGGCTCGAGTTTGCATCAAAACTTTACATTCGTTTCTAGATTCAATACTCGTTTTAGTTATAAATTAATCCACTAACCTAATGTACATATCCTCTTTCCTTCTACATTTTCATAAATCAAATTTCATCTAACTGAATTTAGTTTCTCTCTGCTCATGAAAAGTTTATTCAAATAATCTCTGATTGGAAGTTTGATATAGTTGTTAATTATATTACTATTACTTTCATCCTAATTTAACCAGATTTATTATTTTGCAAATTTATTTGACTATCTGACTCGAGTAGTCATTATATTACCAATGTTTTTGACATTTACAAGCACAAACTTCTATTGTTTTCATTCGTAAGGATATCGTAATTTTTCTATTCCCGAAAAGTGGAATATTTATTATTAGGTTTTTTAACAAACACTTTTTTGTAGATGCACTGATATATCTATGATCTAATTATACAGAATATCTTCAATATATGCTAACAAATACTTGTCGATTATCAAGACAAAAGAACGTGTCTACAAACAAAAAGTAATTTGGCGATGTTTAGTGGCTAGATTCGAGATGGATTCGTGTGGTTCTAGTGAGAATTTATGATTTCTGGAGTTCATTCATGTCATGATTGAGATAGCCTCCCATCTGTACCATTGGATAGTTATTGCTTAATACTATAAATTGACAAAAAATAAAGACAGGGACAATTGGATTTTGACTCAGTGGTTTAAATGTAATCCGTTCACCTCGGCAGTTGGATTTGGATTTCATCTAAGGTGAGGTCGTGGTTACAAGTATAAGTCATATATGTAATATTGTACATCGTATTTCTGAACGACGAAGTGTATAATTTTATAGACTGACAATCGATCCTATTATTAAGTAAGGATTCAAGTGTAACAATAATGTCTGTAACTGTGATACATTATATCGGAGCTATTCAACGAATTTCCAATAGTTTAACCAATTAAAAAGTCTTATTATTTATAACAAGCATAATCTTTTGGCCTTTTAGATAACTATTAATCATTTGAAACAGCTATAAATTATTCAAACACATACCGGTCTCTCATTTGTGTGGCGTCTATCATTTCTAAATGCCGCTGCATTTACATAATCTGGTGAATCAATTGATTGAATTTCGATATTACGATTACATCGAACTTTTAATCTCAAGGCTGTTTGGCTGCTGTGCGATACTTCAGACGGATTGCGCATTGAATCAGAAGAAATATGATTTGTTCCGTGACTCTTTTTGAAGTTTGTCTGGACTCATCAGACCGTTTGTTAAAAGATTTGTATCTATATAAAAGTGGAACGCATTATAAAGCACTAATGCATAGCATTATATTTTGCTAGAAGCAAATTAGTTCACTGAGTAATTGTTGTTAAAATCAAAGTATAGAATTTCTGCTTATTTATAAGCTACAGAATAAGGGTATGAAGAAACAATTTCATTTTGCTTTATATAACTTTTTAAAAAAAGTAATATTATTCTTTAATAACTTCATATATACATATAGGCAATTTTACGACATTGTGTAAGATTGTCTTGTCTTTGGTATCTTTTAATGCTTCTTCGTAATTGAAACTTTTTCTGACAAGCGTTATATCCCCAAACTATACAACATCGGTAGCGTGACTTTGAAGACGGTGAGATTTTTCATTTGGTTATTCCATTTCCTACCACTCCTGAAGCCTCCTCTCGGTTTACCGTCATTCCCAAACCCGATTAAAACAGAATTGCTGATTTAGTGTTAGTAAATCTACCCCAAAACAAAAAAGGAAAAGATTACAGAAATGTAATCTAGTGCCACGCCCAAACTAACAATGGTAGTGAGAGTGATATAGACCAGTTTTGTGGGAGGCTGAAATCCGTTCTAGAGCAATACCTCAGTAAACACCTGATTATCCTCATGGAGGACCCAGATGTCAAGGTAGGGATAGATAAAACGAGGTATGAATACATCATGAGGCTATATGAACTGGGATAAAGGATTGAGTACAGTGAGAGATCGGTAGATCTGTTTACTTTTAACACCATGGACACAGACATCATGACATTCCCTGGTAGACGCATGAACAAAGCTACATGGGTTTCACCTGATCCATCACATATGCGTGAATTGAAAATTCGAATGGTTTATAGAAACCATAAGAACAAAGAGTGAAGCTGATATAACTTCAGATTATCACCTGGTGATTGCCAGGCTGAAACTGAAGACAGAGAAAAGCGTTGGACAATTGGACAAGCAACGCTAAAATTTTTTAGGTCATAACAAGCGCTAGACATGAGAATGGATCACTACAAACAATGGTAAAAAATTTAATAGAAAAACCAAACCTGGGTTTTTCTGGAGCTGAAGTATTTATCTGATCTTCCTGACCTTCTATATCTTCTGCTGCATTCGACGAAGACAACACTTGTAACTCTTGACTTGCAGTCAAATTAGGTGTACTAACACTATTTGTATGTAAACACTGTTGTTGAAGTAAAGCTTGACGATATTCAGCAAGCAAACGATGAGCAAGTTCAGTTTCCTGATTCAATTTAAAATGAGGAAATCGATATTAAACATGACATTTGAAGGAAATATAGTATACGAAAGAAAACCAGAAGTACATTAAGAAATGCTATGTTGTATATGTATAACATCCATAGATCAATTATTTTAACAATCTGTATTTCACAGAGCAGGTTTTAATGAATATTTGTAAATCTCTCCAACTTATGGGTTATTTACTAGGTAACCTCTATGAAAAGGACTAACATATTTCAGTTCATAAATATGGGTCCGATCACTCCTAGAATATTGTACGTTGATTCTGAGTAGTGTTAGCACTAAGGTTAAACTTTGGTTGAGACCCGTCAAACGGCGCTTTACAATCCATATTCCTGGATATGGATGCTCGTTTATGGAAGCCGAGATAGACTTAATCTAATCTTTTTTTTCAAGATACTAAGTAATCTTTTACGTTTACTGAAGCGATCCATTACGAATTGTTTTGCAAACAATTTTTCAGAGTCGAATAATTTGCTACAATCTATCCGTGAAACAAAATTCTTAGCATTGTCTGTGCACTGCATGGAAGATTACATCTCTGATGATACTGCCTCAGAAATGCTTACATCAGTGACAGTAAGTAAACTTATTAATCTTCCTTTCTTGCTGATAGTTTCCTGTCCTTAATTAATTTGATAAGTTTAAGTGAAATCTGTCCCAATCAGTATGTCATGAAACAATGTAGCATAAGTATAAAGGCAGACCTCTCCAGTAGTCGATTATTGCAAGTGCACAGTGACGACGATGGAAATGCTCTTTGAAACATTGTACAAAACGGTATTCCAGTCCTTCTACTAAGAAAATAACGGTTCACAGCTGTTGCATCACATTGTGATAATACCTGGTAAAAATTACCTTTCAAAATAATTTACGATCTACGTCCTTTCAAACAGTTTATCCTTATGTTACATATTTTAACGTATCAATCCCATCATACCCACGTACCGGTATCACTTCTGTAATTATTTTCAGAAATCGGTTTATTGATATATTTTACCACTGACTTATTTTATAGGTAAACTTCACAACTAACTTAATCGACTCATAATGAACTACAGACGTAACATTACCGGTTGTAACAGTTTGTATATCCTAGTTATTAGTGTCTAAAATTGAAATAATTTATCTCTGTTGTGATATGGGATTCTTGGGTAGTAACTTGGTGTTATCTGCCTTTAAAAGTTGACTATGTTATGTATACTAGATAACAAAAGAACTAAGATCTTTCGTTTTGTCTTATTTCGTACTTGTTGGCTACCAAAACGTAAAACTAAACTAATAGATTCAGTCCTGGATGTAAACCACAGTAAGATCCAAACACTAACAGTTTATGATAAATATAGTAAAAATTGAGCAAACAAGTAAATTTCATGACTCGTTGTCTAAGTGGACAACGTTTTGGCATTTAAAATGATGGATTCTAGGTTTGAGCCGTATGTAAATATATGATTAAATTAAAGTGACGAAACTCTAATCTCCTTTTTTACTGAAACTCACTATTTAATATATTATCATGTAGTTAATAGTAATGGATATGAATTATGACTAATTTATTTACAACAAACTGAATTGATAAATGTTTTCTTCACTTTGATGTACATCAACTGAAGTCGCGTTATAACGGAAACATATAATAATGGATTCGACCTTTGGATGATATTCAAAATAATGATGGACTAGACTGGATACTCAAACGATACACGACTACAGTCTGAATCACGTTATAAACACATAAATGATTCCCGATCAACAACTGAGAGCCAGGTTTTAGGCCGCATAGTGATTTATTTAATACGAATACAAGCCATTAACACACAGAGAAGTCTACAGAGAAATTTATAATTTTGGTTTTTAGTGAGAAGTATTTTCACACCACTGTCGTAAAATGTAGCGAAATTTTTGACAACCCTCGAACCATTATGTATAAATAGTAGTTTTTATGTCAATATTTTCTAGATGGACTTTATATATATTTACAGTTAATATACTTGTTTTATTTTAAGAAAAATACTTTTTGTATCAATTGATAAATTTTCGTTACTGTGAAACAATAGTCATTAGTCCCAGTGATTTTAGTTCAAGTTTATTTTTCTCATCGCATGTTTAAAACCTCTTTTTCAAAATCCTCTTTAAAAATTTAAATACAACTACATTATTCTAATCAGTAAAAGTATACTTACCTTCAAATTAGTTAGACTCAATAATTGATGAATATCAGAGTTTGTAAGTAGATGCATGGTGCCAGATGATGGACGTGGTATACTGCATTGATCCGACGAGCTAGATGTTGTTAACAAAGTGTTGCTTGATGGTTTATTTTCGAGTTCTTGACTATTTTCCATAGTATCAAGTATACAGTTTTCATCATCAACCACAGATTTACCTTTCAGTTGATTATTAGAAGACCATGTATTAATCACTGAGCTGCATTCTCTATTAACGTTTGTTGAGCTACTTACTGATCCTTTGACATCCACATTAGTTTGTTTATCGTTATCACATTCATCTTGTTGACGTAATGAGTGAGCTATTTCTCGAGAACTGCCATGATCGCATGATCGGTCAGACGCTTCCTTCCATAAGAGATTAGGTCGACTGACTGGTGTAGTTGGTGTTGTGGAAAAGTGTCTCTGGCACATACTATCATTCAAGGTATTTTTTATGATCTGACGCTTTTCATCCATCTCTTCTCTAAATGTAGCTTCAGTAATTGTTGTATGAGATACATCAAGATTAACGCGTGGATCATGATTGAAATTTGAGTGTTGATATCCTGACACGTTATACATTGGTCTATTAGGATGGAATTCGGTGGGTGATGAGCAACAGTTATCTGATACGGAATTAACAAACTTTCTTGGTGGAGTGACAGCCAAACGATTAGCTTCGTTTAACGTAAGAGGACATGGAAATAGCCGCCAAGAGGAAGAGGAAGAAGTACGAAAGTTCCCCTGTTCTTGTTGAGCTGATTGATTTAATGGCCTCGTAAAATTCCCCGATTGTAAGTTGGACAAGAAATTATTTTTCGGTTCAGAAATTAAATTAACTTTATTCACGTTAGACTTATTATATATCTCATTATCTTCAGGATGTTTTTTCTCAATGTCATTTGATTCTGGTTTTGAATTAAAATTGGAACATGATGTTAAAAGAACCTTACTATCATGTAAATCGCCTTTAACAACATTTATTTCTTTATTGCCGCTAATCTTAAAAGATGATCTTGTAGGACTGGGTGGAAGTAAATGAATTGTTGGTGTCAATATCTTCGTCTCATTTACAGTTGTATTCTTTGAATCCTTTGTTGAAGATTTCAGTTTTTGTGGATTTGCATCATCCATGCTAGATTGTTCTAAATTCACCAGAACAATAGTCTTAGAGTTATTCAAGCTGGAACTGACTGAACGTGAATAGGATTCACTAGCAGATCGTTCAAGACGTCCAGTCTTCGATGTTGACTGGTTATTTATATTTTGATGTGCTGTGGATGATACAGGATTAGATGTAACATCTAAGCATTGTTCCTTTTCAGATCTAGTGACTTGGCTTTCACAACACTAAAAGAGTATAAGAACAATAGATGGATTGATTGTTTGTTGAATGAATGTGCAGATTTTTATCATATGTAATAATCACAGAACTGGTAAGTACGTAGAAGATTAGTTTATTTTATGGAATAGAAAAGTTGAACTAACCGACTGCTATGAGAAGCACAAAGGTTACATCGGAAATCTTTAGTATTAAATTCGGGTAATTCTGTGAATTTCTAATATTTTTGTCAATGGATTTCTGTAAAATAATATGTTAGTTTAGATTTGACAGGTAGTACGTTGAAGAAAACTGTTGATTTTTATTTCAGTGTTTAATGATGGAAGTCAAATAATTTGTTAACCAAAGATAGGTAAGTTTGATGTAACAACATGATGTACTAGCATATGGATTCAATGCTAATGAAGATACACGTGCATTACAATTTGAAAAGTTAGTTTTAACTCAACTTTCGTAAATTTCTTTTATTCTTACCCATATATATGCCCATAATCCCTCCAAATAGTTTAAAATTACATATTAAAGTTTCAATAAAATAGGGCTAACTGAGATCTCAAAAATGTGCCATTATTAGGTGAGAGATAACACAAAATGGGACAGTTCACATTTAATCTTCTCATTAAGCTATTCTTTAGGAATTCGCTGTGAAACTATCATTAGGAATGCTATTACAGTTGGATTTCACATTATCATGAAAAATAATCAGATTCTGATAATTAACCTACATTTCCGGACGTTTGATAAGGAAGAGGAGCTGAAATATTCATTGCGGTTCCTCGACTGGTAGCATTGCTTGTCCATCCAAATGGAATGCGATGTTTGGCAGATGAAAACCAACGTTGAAACTCCTGAAGCGGATTATTTGATGGACTTAACTGTGTACTTGATTTATGGATATGTGTTGATAATCTATCAACAGTTTTTTTAGAATTATGACGGTTTTGTATATAACTAGTAGTTACAGCTTCGAAATCAGGCTTCTGAACAATGGCTTCCGGAGCTATCGAAGTTGAGGCTTGGAACCGTCTAGAAATAAATGAGTTCACAAGTTTGGTAATTTGAATTTCGAGAAATAAAACATACTAGGTAACCATTTTATTAATATCAAGATTTGAGTTTATTTTGTACACATTTAAAGACAAAGTTTCGAAAATACTCTCAGCAGAAAATATACGTAGAACAGCTATTATAAAAGGTAATATGTAAAATATTACTGATCACTTTGAAGGTGTTAATTATAAAAGTAAAAACTTCATTTAGTATCTTCTACTTTATCAACTTCCACGCCCTTAAAGTTCCGGTCTACGAAACCGTTTTAATTAGTTTCCTGAAATAAAGTTCTCAAACCTAAGTTATATCTTTCATCATCTGCATATTTGAAGTCAGTTTGTAATAAAAAAAGACCGACTTCAGCTGGATAATCATCGGAACACCAGAGGACATAAAGAGATTGTTTTCACCAAGTCCAAGACTTCATAACAGTATACACCGATGACCTTGATAAGAATTAATACCTAGGAACTTTAGGTATGACGATGAGTGGATTAATTTTAAACCAATGATAAATTCGGTTGGCTGACGGAGACCATAGGATATCGTACTGCCAAAATACTTAGAAAGTTTATACATCTACTTGATTTTCATATATTAATTGCTATTAGCTGGATTGTTTTGGCACTAGGTGTAAACAAGTTATACCTTCGATAGCTAATGAGAAGGGAAGCAATGGATGACTATTTATTTTATAACAGTTCCTTAGCTTACTATCATGGATATAAACCTGAGTACAAGTACTAATGGAACGTTTGAACAGCATAGTGAAAAACCTCCAGTATATGTTTCGAAAGTGAAAATACAAGTTCAAACAAAATAAGAATTAGTTAAACAGAATTAGAAGTGACTTTTCTTACTTCAGAATTTCTGATTGACTTAAAGTTTTAAAACACATCCTCTTGTTAAATGAATTGTTAATAAAATTCACTCTTTCAAAATTTCTAGAAATATTTAAATTGTATTTTTGCTAGAAGAAATGTTGAAGAAGGATTGGTGACTTGAGTGTAAAATTTATCCAGCTACCAATGATCGTGTATAAACTAGATAATAATGTTTTGTTTCACATAATATTCATACACAGTTGTTATAAGGAGAGAAAATGGAGAGGTCATAAGGAATAGTCAATTGTTTTAGACATATAAATACCGTCTGAATTTAGTGGTGATGTGATTTGATGAATGAGTTTCTGAGAAAAGGTAATTAAAATTCAAAGATGTCAGTCAGGATATCACACAACTGATGTCGTTAATTTATATTTGTTATATCTGGACGAGAATAGATGAGTGTTAACCGTTAGAAATTACGTATGGACTAATATTATAGGCATATTCTTAATGTATAACTATAAAGTAACTATATGTATGTTCATATTCCCTTCATTATAAGCTTTTATTTAATCTATTGACTACTACCATATAGTTTACTATTCTTGAGATTATTAGTAACAGTTTCTCACAATCACAGCTCGTACATCTTGTACAAATGTTACACTGTATTTTTTGGTGTGATGTCTGATTTTGTTTGTATATAAACCAGGTATGTTTGAAATATACAATCCATATCGAGGAGGCTGAAATTGGCGTTCTGGAGTTAACAGGCAGGACTAAGCGGAAAAATGACAAATGGGGGCTCTGGGCTGCTAGTTATGGTATATACATCATTAGTTGGTCGTAAAGTCAGTGTATTCCGCGTGTGGTTAATGACATAAAAATATTGATTAATTTTTTATCTTGGTTTGGAATAAATGCATCTTCGTCTAGTCTTTTTTGTCATACATTATTATTTGTTGACCTTCCCATTAGAGTTGATCAATGTGACCATTAGAACTACGCTGCTAAAGTTCTGTTTGCTGTAATGATTAAGTTGAGAAATCAGTTTTTGAAGATTTTGATTAAATATTGGCAATAAGTGTTATCTAAAACATTTTCCGAGGATAAATTTCACTATCAAGTACTAACTGGCTTTTATGAGAACAACTTAATTTCAGGAGTTTAGTAGAAGTAGGAGTAAATAAAATGTTTTGTTAAAGGATCGACAGCTCGATTAAATAAAGGTTTACTTTAGTCATATTAAACTTAAACGGTTATTACGATTAAATTACATATATTTTAGAAATTACTTCATTTGAGACTGAGGTCTGTAATGTCGTTGGCTTAACCCACTCAGTAATGGTAGAATTCCACCACTATTTGAATGAATTAACTCATGCCATAATTTTCGACCGCTTGGGAATGTAGGACCTGAACCTGAACTTAATCCACGTGTATTTGACTTTGATGGACTTTTAAAAGTAACGTTGTTAGCAGAAGTACATAGAGAGGCTGCGAAACCAAATGACGTTTTTCTGGCTTCGTTTGCTTCGAAATCAGCTTGCGTGATAGAATTACTCGAACTACTTGAAGTTGATGAACTGCATGATTGATGTTGTGCAGCATGAACAAGATCAATTTTCTTAATGCTGGCTGTACAACTTGAAGAGGAAGAGGAAAATGATGCTCTTGGAGAAACTAACACATGTTCCGAAGAGCTATCAGAGGAGGCTAGAGATGAAGGAGATGATTGTTCAGGACATACCTCTTTTTTACTTAATACAACGTCCACTGTTGATAAGTGAAGTGGGCTAAGAGGTTCACAGCAGTTTGTATTTTCATGTCTGTTCGTCATCTCACTTGTAATAGCTATGTTTGCTTTGATTTGTTCTTGATGATGACGTTTTGTTTGACGATGTTTATGTGAACGATGACTCTTAGTAATTTTATGTTCTTCAGTTATTTCACTTGTGTTATGTTGTTTATTTTGGACAAAAGAAGAATCTTCATGATTAATCTGCATTTCTTTATTGGTAAGAGGTGCCAAAGAACCACATGTTTTAGAAGACTGTTGATCACTGAAAGTGATTTTCGATTCTTTTGACACCGTAGAAGTTGTGTTTGCTACTCCACTTTTGGAAAGGAACCATCCAGTTGGCTTTAGACATTCACGTCCAGGAAGACATGTCACACAGCCTTTGTTTAAGAGTTGGGAATCCAAAGTTCCAGCACCGCTTTTAAGACTCCAGTGACCAACAAGAGTTCCAGACTCACTATCTGCATTTTGTTCTTTAAAATCTGCGTTTGTAGTCGTCACTTTACTAACAAAAGTATTCTGGATAAAGTTTGAATTACATGAAACCATGCAAGTAGCTTCACTAGGCCTTCTTGGAGAAGGATTAATCCTGAAAGTCTTGTTATCACTAGTCAGGGCTGTAGTATTCGACTCAATTTTAAACGGATCTATTAATTTGCAAGGATTAATTAATCCACCTGAGTGTTGTGGATCCGCGTTATTTTGTTGTATTCTTTGCGATTCATCATTGACTGGTTCGACATCGTACTTAGTGTATTGCTGACCTAGGAATTAATGAATATGCTGAAATAGTTTTAGAAAATTTTGACAAAACAATTAATTAAGCTTACATGTGAAAAGATTAACAAATAAAATCCTTGATTGAATCTTCCATAAATAACTTATCACACCATCTTTTAAACGGCGCCTGATAAGATAACAAGATGTCAAGCAAAACTAAACCAACATTTAAATGAGGTTTAAGAAATATTTGTAGCCTTTAAAATGTACTAAACTAGGGGAACTCATTTGAAGCCGATAGAAGTTTATGGATGCAGAACGCAAGGTGATAGCCAATAAACCTACCAAAAATATAATATAAACAACTATTGAATATTTTTAACATATTAACCAGCAGTTTATTTAGCCGAATGGATTGTTTTAATTCTCCAAAAGTTGTTTCATTTGAGTAGTTAGTTGATAACCGAATTAGTGATATTTTATACCTTGAAAGATTCCTTATAAAATTACCTGGGATCGGCAATTAATAACATGATTAAGTCTCTGTAATTTCTCATTGTATAGTTTATTATCACAACACAAAACAGACACGTTGTTTTGTGTCATTGAAAGAGATAAAAAACAAAAAGTGAAATCAAAATAATACCAGTATGGTCATTTCATGAATGTTGGACTATAAGTATAAGGTATACGTTAATGATAAAACTTCAGAGCTTTTACTTGAAACGTTCGATCTTAAGTTTCATTGGACGTTACCGAAAGAAGATTAAAATACATCTTTTTGGTCCGAACTGGGAATATCAGCTTTTTGATGAACATGCTATAATTGAACCAGCTGGTCATATCAATTCCTAATTTACAGTATTAGTTAATTTGTCACTATCATGCGCCTGCTTGGAGTAAACCGAAAATTCTCAAAGTAGATTACAACTGTCTGTCTCATTTTTACAAGTTAAGTCTGTTAGAAAAGTCACTACACAGCACTCAGGAGCTATTTAAACAATAAATGATTCCTAACTATGCTTTTAACTAACTGACAACGCAAGTTAATTAAAGTTAGGAGATTCTGGCCGTTGCACTTCAGAAAAAAAAAACAATTTAAATTTAGTGTCACACTACAAAAATTAGTAATCAACAGATATTTGCAAGTTGCAAAAATCCAACTGAAAACGTTTCTTTTGGATTATGGTTTTTGAGCGTGTTTAGCTTGGTGAGTATTCAAACTATATAATAGAGTATAAGTCTAATAACTTAAGACAGCAAATGGATTAACACTGTTTTAACTCAATTTGCCAACAAAATAGTTAATTAATAATAGTAATTATCAAAACTTTTTATTACTTGGATGTTCAGAGGTCGATAACTCCGCAGCAAAATCATTTAATACCTAAGGATGTAAAATAGGATAATATTCATCTGTCAAATGTTTTTACCCTGATCATTTAACAAAACATGTGGCGAAATAAATTATAAATTGATAAAAGTAGACTATACATATAATACCAAGCTATTTTTCATTCCAATAATTAAATAATTTTCATCAAAAATATATAAAAGCTTAGATTTCAGAGAAGAGACTTCATTTTTATGGGAATTACTGCCAAGCTGTACATAACTTATCAAATCTGAACTATCTGTAATGTAAAAGGTGATAATGAAGTTAGTTTTTTTGGAAAAAAACTAGCTAAAAGCCTGCTATTTTAATCGACAAAAGCATGAAAGACGGTCAAAACAGGGTTTTATTTCATATATATATAGTTTTATGTAAAGGAAACAGCTTCTCCATTATCACCTTCTATATCACAGATGGCTGATACCTGATAGCAGTAAGTTAATAAAATCCTTTTTTATTGACACCCAGTTATAGAAGTCTGTTAGCTGGTCATTCTATGTTTACTTCTCGCAAACGAATGTTTTTTTGGGGAACCGTCACCTCATACCTTACAAAAATCTCTTTGGAAATAAGATAGATTAGTTAAATCCCCTTTCAGCCATGAATCCCAAGATTAGATGATAAATGAGTGTGGAACGTCAAGTTGATCAAAGTTCTCATCCCAAATGACAAATGTATGATTTTTAGATCTTCGCGAAAAGACAAAGCTTTTTTAACTGAATTAAGTTTGTTGTGTTAAAAAAAGTAAACAGAAGTGGGCCAAATGGCAATCATATCTCAATCTTATATTTTTATCCATTAACTTAGTTGATGAAACTAAAGTGAACGTTCATGGTCTCCTTTTTTCTTTAAGAACTACTCCATCAATGAATGCATTAGTACGTTCTGAACACACCTAGTTATTCTTATTTCGCTGATTACAAGGGGTTCATCAAAAAAGAGAATCATATTACGACGGATGACATTTAAGCATATTTCTAACTCTACTTAACGTTCATCATTAAAGATTTGCAAATTAATTTTACACTTACCGGTGAACCAGAATAAGTACAGCGTAGTTCTGTACCTCTTAGTATATCTCTTGAAAAAAAAATAAAGGAAGAATCACTCAGTTGATGAATTCAGTTTCAAATAAAATTCAGACAAAATGAAGGATAGATATCTAATGATGACCAGTCCTTAAATCAAAGCTTTTAGTTGTTATGACTTATAATTTCAACCTAATGAGTTTTAGCAGACTAGCCACAATCAATAGAGTTCAATGTTAAGACTACTCTACGGCTAAAGGATTTCCTTAAGTATTGGATTTAAAATTATCAGAGATGCATTCTTTCGTCTAACTTATATCTCATAGACAAAACACATTTTGGATGTGAATGAAAAAACAGACAAATGAAAACACTGATACCATTTGATAGTGAAACATCAAACTTAAGAAATATGGCTTACAATAAATTAATGCGATTGAGGAACGATAACAATTTCTACGGAATCGCGTTCGAAATTCAAAGGCAGATGGCCAATTATTTCATTTAAAGCACTGGATCTATTTTTGAGCTATAGAAGTGAATTATCTTACTTCTATCTGATAAAATATGCAACAAAGTTTCTTCTCTTTATTCTAGCTTACTGGTTGCCTCTGCTACGTATCAAAAAGTCAGTATATAAGAGGATAAAATAGTTCTCGACAAGAGAGCTTTATATTCCTAGAAGTCAAAAATGTGAAACAAACTATTCTGTTTATATTTGTTATAACTATAACATTGGGAACACATGACAAAACAGAAAACTAAAAGAGAAAGTAACTACTTAGATAATGACAAAGGTCAGAGTAGTAATATGAACTAAGTTACCGAAAACACACATAATAGCTAAAACTACAATTTACTAGAACAAACGGAAAAATCTGGATAATCTGAGGTATTTATAGCAGTCAGCTAACACTTGAAGTCATGATATTTGGTTATTAATTCTAACTATCAATCACATCTCAGTAAGCGGTGACTGCTAGACGATACTATCTCAAATTATTTACTTATTAACAATTCTTTTTTTAAAAAAAATAAACTAGTTCAAACAATTAAATGATGTTATACTGGATAGAAACATTTACTGACTGAAGCATACTATAAATCTAATTATGGACGATATCTATATATACATAGATAAATGGAAGTAACAACTTACGGAGGTTCCGAGATATGAACTGCCGGTTGTGGTGGGACCGATCTAAATAAAAGTCAATTACTTAGATTCCTGTCCGCAAGATTATGAACAAATTTTAGATGATTAGAATAAAAAGTTATTGTTGAAGTTGAATTAATGTTTCTTTAGCAGTTCTATGAAGCTATTGTTTGTTCAAAGTCCAGAAGAACTGGAAATTTGAACCAGTGTAGGCTGGGTTAATAATTCCACACTTGGCTCCAGATGTGAATGTTCTATGTCCAATCCAGGCAGTAATTGAGGTCACTCACGGATGAAGAGTTCCAAGCTTCAGAGAAGCTATTTTATTTTCACTGGTTCTCCGTCTAAGAGCAGTTCGTGATAAAAATCAGATTCGAAGGAAAGTTAATCTTGGACCTAAGGTTGTAAATATCGTTTTCAAGAAACGAAATTGATTAGGCTACCGTATGACAAAGCGTTTTCAATATATCACTATATATTACGTAAGAAATCGAGGTTAACCGTCGTCACTGATGGATATACTCGGTGAAGAAAAATGTGCAGATATATACAAACTATACTAGAACATTCGAAAAAGGTCGTATTTCTATTTTTAGGATAATATAGCACTATTTATCGTCAGTACTTTATATATTCGGCCAACGTTTGTTTAATTCATCTGTTACTTTCTCAAATTGTCATCAAACTGTAGTTTGGTATTCAGTATTTCACCAGTTTAGTACTGTTTTGATGTGCCGTTTTTCTTAAGTAATTAATAATTGATATCATTACGTTACTGGAACAGTCAAAATATAATTAGATAATTTGATCTGATCTCTTCAAGTTACTTAAATTTGTTAAAACGAGTCATATTGCACAACCAAGAATAATAACAGGCAACTGAACTTCAGTTATCAATATCTTTCCACTCCAAACACAATCTACAAGATGACTTTATTGAAAGTCTAGAGAGAAGCTGTGAATCAAGTCAGGTTCAAAGTGGATTCACGCCTATAAAATCGCTAAGAGGTTGGACTATGCCGTGTATTGGATGACGTTGACAATGTAGTTCTGATTTTTTATCATACGTGTAGCGAAATAGGGATATTCTGAGCTGGATATTTTGTGAGGTCGTATGAACATACAACTCACTCCCCAGAAAGGGCTAAAACACATATTGATTTTTCAGCTGACAATAGTTCGGAAGAAAAGTTTTTTTCAAATATATTTGTAATAACACTACAGTATGATTTTGTTCTTAAAACCATACGTGTTTTATTAACTTAAATGATTACATTCAAACTCAAAAGGATCGTTATTATCCTATGCTATCTTTTCATAATGAAACATTTCTCATATATAAATAAACTAGTAAACATACTTTACATGTGTCCAATAATCAATATAACTACTGTGCATCTGAATACAAAACTGCCATAGATAACGCGCGCTTTCATAATCCTCCTATGGTACATTATAGAAAGTAAAAAAATATTATATTTTCCTTATGGATATAAATATTAACTGAGAATAGAAAAAGATATTTAAACTTCCAAATTTACAAAATTTGTGATTGAGTTTTTAATGAAACATGATATTTTTATACACTATGCTACTGCATAGTGGTGTTCATTTAGTAAGTTATATATTAGTATTTCGAAAGTTCATCACTAACAAAAAAATAAGCATCGCAAATATTTCGGAAAAAAATATCGAGATAAAAATGTACACACAGCAATAAGAAGCGAGGAATTTACATGATGAAGGAATATCTACATTTAATTTTAACAAATGCTGTTGTTTGACAAGAAAATCACAACTTAAAGTTTATGCCCTTTTACATCGATCATTAGCTCTTCACTTACATTTTAATGAACACTGTTCATCGAATTTACATCATTCAATGTCGCTAGTAGTTTCTTGTATACATAGTGTTGTGTGAACTATATGAAGCTTCTGAGATAGTTCTTGGTTTGAATTATTGCGATTTAAAACACTGAGGAAACTTTATTATTGATTAATTGATAACTAGTTTGAATAAGGCTAAAACAACAATTGAGGCAGAATAATATGAATTCATTATTATCTTTCGTGGATTCTCACCAGCTGCTTACAACCATATGTGTATTGAAAGGTAACATTGAGGTGTGATATAATATTACACCATTGATATTGATGACGAAAAGAATTAGGATGACATAGGTTATCAATAATAACTATATATATATATATATATATATATATATATATATATATATATATATATGTATTCGTGATGAAGACCCTAAATCTAACTCCTAACCTTAACCATCAGCTGTAAATCATAATCTTTATCCTTCACACAGGTTTATAACCCTAATTTTGCTCCAGTTAGTTGGTGGAAACTCAAAGACAGTCTAGCGTCCATAAATTATAGTCTCACCCAATAGGTGATTCTTACAGCTTTGCAATTCTACAAGGTTTGGATAACGCGAAAGATTAATTCAGTTAGTGATTGCTTATAGGGTGGTCAGGTATAATTCGTTTCGTCTCATGTAAATTCATTAATTAACAAACAATATTAGGTTTTCTGCTTCGATCTCACTCACCAACACTTCTATCTTGGTTTGTGATTCATTCATATCCTCATCAGCCTATCTAAACCTTGTTTCAACTTCAAACTTTTACAACATTCATGAAAGCTTCATTTGATAAAATTGGAACTAACGTTTTGGTAGTTTTCATGCACTATCACTTACTAACAAGTATCCAAGTATTATCTTACTATCAATTAAAGTAAGCCATCGATACTGCACTCTGTTAATGTAATAGAAACCACTGAAAATGTTACTAGCACCTCGATGAATAATCATGATCAGATATTTTTTAATTGTGTTTCATAGACCAAAACGCCGCTTCAGTTAGAAATGTTTCCTTTGGTCAAACTCATTTAGTTAGTTACGCATCTTCATTATATACTGTAAGTGATCAAACCATGATTGCGAGAATAGTGTTCAGTACATCTTGGAAGATCTTTTGGTTTTTAGTACTTATTATTTCCAGTAAGAACCGATAACCATAAAACACTGCACAGGTGCTTTAACCTGTTTTAGGAACCCTTGTCAATGTGCCGCCACGGATACACAAGACACCGGACCTAGAAACTTCGAGTCTTATCCTGGGTAGGCTACCGTTGGATCAATGAGTTGATCTCCCATGGTTTAAGCTTTCAATTTTACTCGATTCGTCATACCGTTAAACAATGACATTAATAAGTTAGTCTTCCCCCAACTATTAACTTCTGTAGGGTCATGGATAGGTACTACTAGAGAGTATCAAACTAGGACGAAATAGTTACACGGTACCCTTAGGTTTCCAGTGGTCCTGAAGTTTATGTCAAACCGTAAAAAAATATCTTCAAACTATAAAATCCTCTCCACAAAACACTTCCATAGTATCGTCATATTATACTATTAAATTATTATATCATTGCTCGTAGTGCTTATTCTCTCGCTCTAGGTAACATCTTTACAAATGATACTACTAGTTTTATTAGTGTTAACTATGAAAGCTCCTAAAGGAACCTTTAATATACTTATGTCTTGTCAAGTTACAACCATACATTACTTGATAAATACAAACATAACTTGAACGTTAGTAGTTATAATTCATTTTCTTATGTATACATGATAAAGAAGCAAAAATTATGTAAAATCGCTGATGAACTTACAAATATGAAATGAACGGACTTTCCCCTTTTTAACAGTTGAATAGTAAATGTCTTACGAGTATACGTAAGGTCTTTAATATGTTCCCATCTGTAAAGTTAAATTAGTACAATTTCCTTGTTTAGTTATTAAATAGTATTTTTATTATCCGAACATCAGTAAATAATTATAATCGTTGAAAACTTCCCATCACATTAAAACACAGATATGTAAACGAAGAAGCCTTTTGAATAATTTTTCTTTAGGTTTTACAATTATATATTCGAACTAATATCCTAAATAATTAACCAGGTTTAAGGCAAAGTACATCATTTAAAATTATAGCATATAAATGATGTACTTTGCCTTAAACCTAGTTAATTTTTTGGGTTATTAGTTTGGGTATATAACTGTAAAACCTGAAGAGAAATCATTGGAAAGAATATTCTTCGTTTATATATCTGTTTTAAATAATTATAATACAAATCAATAAAATAGTCTGCTTGAATAACCAGTTAACTGATTAAAACATTTTATTCTAACATTAAGTGCCAAGTGTTACATTTTAAAACAACACGAGAAAATAATTATAAAACAAAACAAATTCTTATTATTAAATAAGGAACAAGAAAATCTTCTTTTCGACGAAATCATTTACTTAAGCTGTACATTCGTATATATAGTTATATGGAAAATGTATATATATAACTATGTATACGAATGTACAGCTTAAGTAAATGATTTCGTCGAAAAGAAAATTTTCTTCGCTGAATTCTCTTTTTCTTATTCAATGACATTATGGGTTATTTTAATTAACAAGAAAATCGATGACAAGAATAGTATTTTCGGGTATTTTTATCATACACTAAGACAGATCGACAGTCGGAAATTTTATGGTGTCATAACTTGAGGGTTTCTCTATGCCCTACGTTTATTGTTAGTAGTCTAGACTATGTTCATTGACAACAAATGCTTAACGCATATGTCGTTTCAGATTATCTACCTCCAAAACATTTGGAGAAGATAATGTTTACCACTTGTAACTTCTCTTACTCACAGAAAGGTCAAAATTATTGAGAAAGATACTATATGATGTAGTTAGTAATCTTGTTTCCAACATAGCTATTATAAACCATATTTGATAAGTCTCAGTTGCAAATAGGTGTTACTTGACCAGGTGAGAAAATATTAGTTAGGTAAGAGTGGGTATTCAAATTTCTCCGGTACACAATAGGGAAGTTAAGCGACATTACGTCGATAATAAAATTTAAAGAAGAATATGATAACATGTGAGGCAAATAAATTTCATCCAGTACAGTGTTAATGATTTGGTGGAAGATAAAGAGTCTGTACGTTTGTATTGTGAAATATTTTAAATAATGACACAGTGCATCCTGAGTCACTGATTTCCAAATGTCCGAGGATTTAAGGGGTATTAGCTTCTGTAGATGGCTCAGAAAGATAATCAGTGATACGACAGTTCAATCTAATACCTATATATGAGTACCTAATTTGACACAAGCCATAATCTCGATCTTAAAAAGAGAGAGGTTCACGATAAGTTTGATAGACCTATTTATCTTACTTTCAAAGTCAACAGACAGTCAACTAAATTTACTAATTTCTGTAATTCTACCTCCAGTCACAACCCCGCTCATCAGGTGACTAAATTATGCATGACCAGTCTTTTAAAAATACATTCCTATGCACTGTACCCTTATAAACTGAGTTTTAGTTGTATTATTGGCCCAAAACTATTTTGTTTAGCAATCTTACTCTTTCTTAGCTATCTACTTGCATAGATAATCTACAGCTGGAAAGATTGAAGGATCCATACAAAGTATCATAAAGCTAAAGCTATACAAGAAATTAATCAATTTGCTTTCTAGTTCTAAATTATGCTTTAAAAAAGATCGGCTCAAAGGAATCAACATCTTACATTTAACAGCTGTTAAACACCCGCTAAACAATCATGAACATGACTACGAAACATACGTGTTCTGTACATATCTGAACTGAGGATCATAGTGTTCATTTCAAAGGAAATAGTGATTTTTGTGAAGTAGATTTTAAATAAGAATTGATTTTAGTAATATTTTCGTATCACCATGAGATACATCACATCCATTCGTCGGTTTCGTTAAGGTTAGACTTCTGACATACCTAGTGGACATAGAATTTCAATTAATTCTTGCCTATTTTTTAGGTCTTTCTGTATAAGTGAAAACCCCATAAATTATGCCATCCTGCTTAATACGATTTATTTATGATGAAGACCAGAAACAATTAGAGATTATCCTACACTTTAATCAATACATACACTTATATTCAGCATAAACAGTATTCATGTCATTGCGATACACAACCACATATACCGGTCTAAGAATTGTGTTCGTGCACACACGTACACATAGACACGCTCACTAGTGTTTCATTCAATAGAAATAGGTGTGTACACATCTAAACGGTATAGCTTTTGCATGCACAGTGTAGGAATGAATTATATGACCCGTGTTTTATTGATTTTCAGTAAGTAGGAAAAATTTGAAAGCTGTTGATACGTACAGTATGGTAGAAATTTGTAATTTTCTATATTTGTTTTACAAATGACAGATTTTCGAAATTGTAACATTGAAAGTAGATATTATTAGAGTTGCAACTTTTATTGAGATCATGAACCGATTATTGTTAAACCACCACAATCCTTTACTAATATAAAGTTACAATTTGTCGAATACTACAACTTATCTAGTTATTTGGGAATAAAATTTTTAATGTGACAATAGACTTCAAAGGGAATCTGTACTGCAAACTATTGTACATCGAAGAACCATTTAGTTTCTCATTGTTTGCCAGCTGACGTCAGTTCGTTAAGAAAACTACCTTCAAATCATATAAAATTTTTATAAAACCATCTAAAATGCAGGAACCAATTAACATTTGCGTTAGTTTCAAAACTTAAAAATAGTTTCGTGTATTTTAGAAGATCCTTAAGTATTTGACAGGAAATAGTGAGTGAAGTAACAATTAAAGCCGAATAATATAGATCCTGAATCCACTTCAGTTATCTACAACCAATTCACGGAAATTATGTAGGCCATTTCAAATTATCTCTCAGTCAAATTTTGTCTTGAAATGAGATTTTAAATATAAATACGTAAACAACGCTGACAATTTTTTCCATCTCCATTATTCAGTCACCATCTTTGATAATGTAAAACCATCGTTAAGTAGGAATAAGGTCGAAAGTTATTGAAGAGAAGTGATGTACATTGGATTGATGTTATTCCCCTTCGGTCCCCATTCTTGCTTTCTTCAAGTTCATGAAGGGAAACAACTATATGAGATGTTAGTGATTAGATGGAAAGATTATGTACCTCAAATAAACAAAAATAGTTGGTGTAGCACTGCTTTTCTGAGAAATAAATGAAGTATTGAAAGATACAACGAACTTAACTGCAGTACACTTGCACCTCAGTGTCCATATTCTGATTACTAAACATATTCAAAACATCATTATAAATTTGGTTCGCTATGATGAGATTTAATATCCAAAGTAGATAACTTATGAGCCTATAAACACTAGAATATATTGCAAATCCTTCGTTTTTATTGTGTATCTCGATAGTAAAAAGTTTTAAATTTTCGTCATTCTCCAAAAGATGTATGTTAAAAGTTGAAAAAACTTATCATATAGTTGCGCGTGAATGGTATACGGCCTATGTTAGCAAATTTCAAATGGTGTGTATTCGAAATATGATCCCATCATATTAGCAGACCTTATAATTCATTACTATTCACCTTAAGTATAGTCAAGATCCTAGTGACAAGTAGTGGTTTTTGAAGATAATCGATATTGTTAGTAATGAGTAATAAACGTAGTTGGAATTGACAGTATTGCCATTTGTCTGAAGTTAAAAATAACATTTATTTAGTTCAAACATGATACTTAACTCGCCATCGTACGTTTGCGTTATTTACTCAGTAACTAGCATGTAAACCATAAAGACATTTAATTTCAATACCTATATGCACAATACTGAATATTAAAAGCGCTATGAAAGTTTAAATGTCGATGGAAAACGACTGGGAGTTCTATTTCACATCTTCACCATACCATAACACTATAACACAAAAAATTTTTAAAGTTGTACGCATGCATTCGATGTCGGTAGTTTCCCTTAAACTTTCTTTTGGTATTCATGCAACACTGATTTTGGATGCATAACTTACTTTAAGTTAGCGATTGTTTGTCTTTGAGGCTCAAACGTAGTAATATTAATACCATTACGTGAAACACCAAGTTCCGCAACTTCATTACTACATGTCTTGAAATTTATAAATGTATACAATACAAATGTAAACACATGGAAACCTTTGATTAAAATGGGAGCCGAACTTCCTAATACCAGACTTCATCATTCTTTAAAGTCCTATAACTTTAAGGTCGAGGATAACCATCTTTTTCAGTGTTCGGTGAGACTGCGATATCTTATTTCCGCTTTACTTTGTTTTGAATTTCAATCGCATGAGACCGAAGTTAATTATTAATAACAAGCAAAGTGAATGAACGCTATCAAGTGTGGTTACTCTTATAACGTGAAATAACTAAATAAATAGAATAATTTTGTTTTGGAGTGGTTTTATCTGTTGAATTTTCTCCCACATTTCTAAACAGTGATCGGGTATTGTTATATCAAGCTGAATAAGCAGTTACTGGGAGAAAATAAATGTTTATAGGCTTCATACACTATTGCAGTCGTGTTAATTTCCTTTTACTTTTATTAGATTAACACAGTGGTTTATTTAACCTCCAAGGCATAGATGTCTATCATCGTAGCTCGTGGGGTTTACTTGATTAATAATTCTACTTTGCTCCATTTACGGCTAAATGTAGCCATGTAACTCGTCAATATTCATGCCACGATTGCACGTTACAATTTATTATATGTGATGATTTAACTGTATTGTGTCACATGTTAGAATCTGTGAATGAAGCTTGAAACAAGCCAATCGATTGGTTTTTTATCTTAAATTTACTAAACATTATCTACTAAACGAACGTAAGAAATCTAATTGCATACAGTCAAACAGTAAGTAAAGTCGTAATTTGTTAGTGAACTGGTATACAAAATATTGATCTGTAACCACATCCAACTACTGCATACATAAAACGTCTCTCACTTTCAGTGTAACCGTATGTGTTTAACTGGTACTTGAAATAATCATTTCCACCCTTCGAACAACTGAATTTGTGAGCATTCACTTAGATATGCACCTAACGTTCCTTAATGATTCATTATGATGTTTTATCATTATTTTACTGAAGCCTAATCGAAGTAATATTTAATTATTTAAATATGATCAAAAAAGCAAATCTAATCAGATTAAAGCCGCACTGTCATGATGACTAAAAAGCACAATGTCTTAATACATACATTCAAATTATATTCTTAATGTTTGATCTCTCACTATCATTTATCCTACAATTATTCGGAATCCATTAGTATTAATCTCATCGTATCCATTTTGTTCTTTTGATTCAGTACGGCGACTTGGGCTAACGCATATTTGTCTCTCAGATAGCATGAATACGTAGGGAGACTTAGTAAATGAAGTTAGCTGTAATTTAGATTAAATGGGTTTTATTAATCTATGTATCCGTCTGAGTTTGATAAATATGCATAGACGTTTTTTGAAGGTGTGCACATTCTGGTAGTAAATTAAATGATAAGCTGTAATGTTTTTCAAAGGCAAAATTTAATTATGACACTTAAAGGTCCTTTTCAACAAAATTTACGCCTAAATATTTTCTTCCATTAAATCAACTACTCCCTTATAAATCAAATATATTTCCTGCCCAAAAATTCATTTATTATTTTTTTTCGTTAGCACTACTCCTATCCGCTGTAGATGTAACACTGTCCTAGGTATGTGGAATGTATAAATGTCTTAATATTCACATAACACGACATACTTTTGTGTATTCAAAATTGGTTACTTAACAAAGATGTACTTCAAATATCCATTTTATTTCTTCGAACTCTTTACTGGGAAATACATTATATTGTAAACATCCTTAAAATGACTTGAAAATTGTGCTTTATCAATATATAATCCAAATTTTTATCATTACTAATGTGAACAAGTGGTAATAAGCAGGTTTAAACTTACCATACCACTAAATGTTCGAACACCATAGAGAGGATTATGTCTGATTTCATCTAGAAAATACCATATTGCATTGTCTTGAGAAACTCCTTGTAGATGAGAATAACCCCAAACTATGTCGTCAACATATTCCGTTGTTGACAAATCAAAGGCACCAACAACAGAAGTCTACAATAGAAGACGGTAAGTTAAGTTTTCATAACATAAGACAAATGAGTAAGGGAAATATTCATCCTTTTCATTAGTTTGTCGGAATACTGATTTTGAGCTTTTACATGCAATTATATTTATTATTTTTGTCATTCTTGATTGACTCCAACATTTTTGGATATACAATCTGTAAGATCACCAAATGTTGATTTATAGAAGAATAATCGTTTTGCCCATTTACCTCGATAACTTCATTCATTCCGTAATCTAATTTCATCTTTGGGTCTAATTATTGGGGACCTATCACTTTCCAGAATGAATGGAAATTGACTGATTTAGCTTGCAATAGTTTTATAGTGACGGATATGTATGGTATGGACATAATTGCGTATTCATTTTGGAACACGTATTCTAACTGCGCACGTGACTGTTAAATAGTTCAATTATGTTGGTTAACTTTTGCTAAGGTGTATGATCAACTCAGATGCCGCGTTCGTTAATCCTTGTGAGATTCTTTTGTCTAGCTGTCTGTCTATCTATCTATCTGCTGATTGTATTCCATTTTAATATGCTAATATAAAAATACTTGAGACACGCTGATTAGTTGAGACTCTAGACAGTGTGTGTTCATTTCAATACAATGCAGGTTAGACCAGCTTAATGCAGTCCTGTATTTATTTTACTACAGTAAAATTGCTGGATATTCTATTGCCAGTGCTATTTCTATTGTAACACAATCCAATGCAGTTACAAGAGGTCTAAATATGGTGTTACTCCCATACTATTTTTAGTTCAGTCAAGTTGTGTCCATTAAATCTAATTATACTTTAATCATTTATTACTAATGTATATGCTAGTGAATCCAATTACTGAAATACATATTTAAGAACGTTTGTATTGTAGTTTTTACTTCATTCGTTTGCCTCAAATCATCGGTTATAAAGATAATGGAAATAACAATGTTACATTTAGTAACAGGAGTGTCAGTCACCTGGACGTTTATAAAAATCGTATTATTTTATAGCTATTGCTACTCCAACAATCTAAACCAGTTGATTATTGAATTTCATGGCGTTAAGAGATGAGCAGATAAATGTTTACATAAGTATCAGTAATATATGTGCCTTAATTATAAAAAACTGATCTAAATTGGTAGATTGCTTTGCTCACTAAAAAAGTTAACACCTTTAGTAACAATCAGGAAATATTCTTCAGTTTGCTAAATCAATTAATTAAAATGGATAGGGTTGCACTTAAAAAGTGACCATAAGGACTTCGAATAAGTGATTTAAATTATCATAGGCATCTTGCCTAATTATTTTATTGTTAAAGAAACGGGTGGCTTTAGAAGGAGCGCCTTTGAAGATTAGGTACAGCTAAACAGCTTTTTTGTGCTAATTTTAATCACGCCGAAAGTGAAACGAGTATCATCCATGAAAATGGATGGTGATTAAATTTTGCCATACGTTGGCTGAAGTCGGGTTCTTAGGTTTCTAACTCAATGGTCTTAAAATATCTTGCTAGTTTTAGAGCCCGAAGCTCTTGGGATATATCCCTAGGAGGCTTTGGCTGCTCAAAATTAATGAATTTGGGTTCAAAACAGGAAATTTTTTGTTTTCAGTAGACATCAAAATAAGGCCATTTAATGATAAAGGCCACGTCAAGGCATCATTTCACTGGTTTTTTGTAGCGAGTATAATGTAAAACATTACCTTAAGTACAAACTCCAAAGCGAAAAAATTAAAGTAACTCCCGTGATAAAGAACATGATAAAATATTTTAGACTGTTTAAAATTTCTATAAAGCATATATAAGTATAGTGAGATTACGTACTTCCGAGTGTAAGTTTCTTTCTCTCCAGTTTGAAAGTGTAGTTTCGATGTCCACAAAATCTCCAAACTCAGCTACAAATAGAAAAGAATGCTAATGAACAATGTTAGATCACTAGTCTTCTGCAATCATACAATGCTATACCATCGCTACAGGAAGTTTCTAGCTGAAGACAGCTTGTTGAGGCTTACACGTGAGAGTGGAACAAGTAAGTTCTGGTATTCAAACCAAATGGTTTTTGTAACCATTTATTCTTTGAAGATCTCGTAAACGGTAAGTACATGTCAGTCTAGGAAATACAAATGCTAGTCCAATATAAGGTCTTCATTCTTTTCATGTACATATATCTGCAATTCTTACAGTAAAATGTACCTTAATCTTTGTAAGCATAAAACTGTTAGCTCACCAGACGGATTTCAAGACTTATATTGCATTATCACCTGAATATAATCAGAATTTTTGATCTCCTCTAAAATACACCAATCTTTGGTTCCATTCATCATCCTAAAGCGATAAAACTTGTAAGCATCATCTTGTGTATCAGCCTTTTATCTGTAATAAAACTTTACTACGAAATAGATTAGATGGAACTAAGAATAAATAGGAGTGGACTAAGAGCTAAATTAATTGGTACGCCAACTTAATATATTGTTTTCTTCAAAATGGACATTGCTTCACAGTGATCGATTTCAACCATATGGTAGCATTTTGATGCTCAATGCCCTTCCAAGAACACAATTAATGCGACCTTTTAGATTTTGCATGGAAATTTTCAAATCAATGTTTTGAACTTTAGATAATTTTGGGCAACTGAATTTATTTGACGTAGCACCTTATAAAAAAGAATGCTACCTAAGTTGATAGCAAAAATTATGAGGTAGGTCTGTGAATTGCAATTAATTTTTGACATTGTAAATTGCAGCAAATCATTTTTCAAATGAATTAATATGTTTACTTAATGTTAATCGTTTATTATTAATACCTTATTTACGTTCTTAGATCAAAGGGTATATTTTAAAATAGCTAAACAACTTACGAGCTGAGCGGCTACTTTTCATCTTAAGATAATGACTTGGAATATCTTACTTTAAATAGTAGCAACTGATTACGCTCTTAAAACATTCATGATTACTTGACATGGTCACTGAAACACGCATGGGTTTCATGTTTAATTTACGACCATAAAATATCAAAGTTAGGAATGTATAGAAATAAATTCAGTGGTATAAATACGAGCTAAGAGCAGAACAAAAGAGTAAACATCTGATGTAAAGTAAATGATTGTAAGTGCTCACGATTTAATAAAAAATGCGTTAAACTATATAATACGTCTCAGCATATTGTACTGACTAACACTTTTTTCGCCCGGAAAATGTAATTTACCTCAATTAACCTTATTACCAAAACATAAAATTCATCGTTAAGCAGCTTGGCAATTCAGTTCTCATCTAGTGCCTCACTCTAATTTATAACTACCCATATCAACCATTTCTGTCCTTTTCTACATAAACCATTGATAGATGCACACTCACTGTGAAGGCGGTAAGGATAAAAAGGTTTGCATCAATGTTTCAAGAGCATATTGCATTAGGCCTGCCGTGTTTTTTTCGGATGATAGTTTGAGGTGATGAGAATTTTACAACGCTTTTACTAAGGTATATTTGTAGCAAGACTAAGTAAGCGTCCAACCTTATAAGATCTTTAAGTTACTATCTTGTTTTTAGTGTGCCGCCTGAATACAATGACGGATATTCTTGACTGATTGAAATATTAAGGTATATTTTCGAATTCTGTAGCAGTGTTTAGTTAGTTTCCTAATTAAATCTTGTATTTCTAGCTGATACTAAACCCACGGGTAGTCGAAAAACCTGAAACCTGATGTAATATGACGAGATAAATTTGCAGTGAGTACGTGTGTTCTTACCTTGAAGACTATATGCTTGAAGTTTTATTGCTAATTTTAACGTAACAGGAAGAAGACCCATTGCAACATTCCTCCTGAGCTGAAGGTAAAACCAACGTCTTTTTCATAACATATAACAAGGACTTCTCACCTTATCTGCGGATCAGGCAAAAACTGCGGATTATCAATAAAAAGCATGACAGTAAGAGTTAGTGCATGTTGACGGGCATATTTGTCTAGTTGCTTTTTAATCGATTTATTAAGAAACAAACACTTTTGTTCTCCTGCCCAGTCCTCATAAGTGAATCCAAAAAAGTAAATCTGCAGTTAAATTTATCTCACAATGAATAATTGACATACATCTTCTATATCTAGTCTCTGAGCAACATATTCTAAAGCATCCCGACCAGTAGTGCTTGAAGATACAGTATACTCAACGCATGTGTTATCAAGTGTATATATTCTTATAACATGCAGATCCTTAGCTGCAACGTTATATCTATGTGTGCGCTTAAAATTTAACTTCAACGGCATCTGAGGCTAAACGCGAATACGTATTACGAACGTCATAATGCAACTGGTGGTAAGAAATGACAATGGAACTACTTAAACAAAATCCTTTGGAGTACATTTGAGAAACAACGTACAAAAGCTTATATTTAGTCTGATAACATATATTTCAGCCACATGCAACGCAGATGGTCACAAAACACGTTTTGTCAACTTCGAAATATTTGTTAGGGTTTCTGTTTTACCAACATGCCTCAGCATTTAGTTTTCGTCTACTTATGATCATTCCTTCTGAATCAGTAGGCTTCCCATTATCTAGAGTCACGTATATGACTAGGGTATTATTGTTTCCGAACACGGGGCTATTATTCACCTTTACAGCATGATCTGAACCTGAAAGTTCTATCTTTTCTGGGATCCTCATTTCACGATGTCACATAAATTGAACAACTCTTATCAGCATAAAGAATTGACTACGCTTTCAATACATTCCGTTTCCATGTTTCCATCATCTATCTGCTCCTCCATATATGTGTAAGTAAGCCATGAAGGCAATTAACTACGTGTTTTTATAGAAGGGAGGACGATTGTATCCGATACATTGTATAAAGCTTACGGAGTTCCCATATTCATAAAACTAGGCCATGAGTATCCTGATCAGTTCGAAGAAGAAGAATTCACGGGTATTCTCTTCGTTAGCGGTAACATTGGACGCTTGCTATAGGAAAAACACAACGCCAGAAAGTTTTCATGGGCATTTGCACGGCAAACTCTTCAGAACTCTACAAGTCGATTCAGAATAAATGTATCTCTACAACATGTCTAGCTGGTAAGAAGTGAGGAAGTAGATTCACGAAAATAACTGTTAGCCATCAAAACCGAGTACGTTCGAACACCAGCTATGGAACAAGGATCTAATCGTAGACTCAGATGCTCATTACGTGAGTGAGTCTCAAACAACAGCAGAAAAAGATGATAAACCGTAACAAGTCAAATTACTCCAACACGTTATTCATTCACAAGGCCTGCTTCGACGTGGAACTGACTATACAAGCTATATCTCCGAAGTGGTTACTTACACTGTAAGATCCATTTGAATGTTTTGTGTTTGTGAAAATCCCTCCATGCATATACTTGTACTTTGTTCCTATTGACCCCCTTAGTTGTACATTGTTGTCTTTTGATTACATTTGAATTGTTAATATTTGTATTTCTTTATTATAGTTTTTGTTCTCCTTACGCCTTCATTAAGTTTTGTGTTTCTTCCCGAACTGCATCTATGTTGTTTTATTTGATACTTGTTCTTGGCGGCAGCCATATTGATTTGCTCCTCCTTTTGTGTGTGTTCTGTCCAGTCAGTATAGAATAGCGTTCATTTGTTGTGACTGGTAATTTTCCCGCATCTTTCATCAACTTCTTTATTTATTGTAATTTAGATTTGATTGATTGAACAATTATTGGTTGAATAGCCGGGTGGTAATATTTGTTTAGGTAACGATTTACATTTAAATTTATGATGAATTATAGGACCGCTATTTACCCGATTACTTGTTTTGATTCTGACAGGCAAACGCGCGTGTCTAATTCACTTGGGAGGCTATTCTTTAAACCAAACCGTGGTTTGGATTCTACAACACTTGGATTCAGCAAGGACGACGTGCTAGAGGTGTGATGTTTTTGTACCTATGCAGCATCATCGATAAACAAATTCCAATGCAGATGCTTAAGCACGGATCGACAAAAGATGGACAAACTTCGTACAACGAAACAATATTTGGAAACAAAATTAACTGTTATCTAAGGTCAAAGTGAGAGTTTTCAACACAAACGAAAAGACGGTTCTACTGTGTGGACCTAAAACCTGGTGAACTACCGTAAACACTAACAAAAAGTTACAGGCATTTATCGGTAGTTGTCTATGTGAGATACTCATGTTTCGTTCCTCTTCATGTCATCAGCAACAAACTGCAATGCCAGGAAACCAACCATCTTTCAAATGAAGAGGAAATTAGGGAAATAAGCTGGAGGTTGGTAGGACACAGCTTGAGAAAATCATAAAACTGCACCATTAGCAAAGCCCCAACAGAGCCTCCTGACTGCAAAAAAAAACGTGGGAGGCCAATAAACTCAGTGTATCCGAAATTAGAAACAGACATCAAAGGATTGGGTAGCCCAAAACGGAGTTGCCTGGAAAATTCTAGTCGGCGACTTATGCTGCATGGAGTGAAACTGGGATTAGTATTTTGGTAAAATCCATTTTCCTGCTTCGTTATAGGAACATGCTAAGCATCCCTGGATGTGTCTTTTCTTCTTCACCATAACATTATTATTTCATTGTATTTATTCTTGCTCCTACCGCTGGTTGTAGTTTCGCATATTTATTTTCCTTTTTCGGTTCGCCCGCAGTAATTAACACAACATCGTTTACAAATTCTTAATTGTTAGCAACACTTCTTGATTTCGCTTAACATTGTTTCGTGTCAGTTGCCTTATTTGACCGCTCTACTTTGTCTGATATCTTGTGAACTGATTACTTCTGTTTCATAAAGTTGGTTTTGAAGCACGTATTCTGTTTGCCTTATAGCGTTTTCTATCAGTTACTGGTGCTTACTTATATTTATAATATAGTTACAATCTTCCATTTGATTGTTCATCGGTGGAAAAACCCCATTTGACCTACCTTTTTTAGTAAGATATTTTTCCTTGACTATTATTTTTTTTAACATTTTTGATTAGGTCAAATTAAGTTTCTGAACCAGCCGGAAAAAGTACCGTTCGGGTACAATGAGTTTTATATGCGTCCACGTTTTCTCTTTCAGATCTTTTTCTGTAACATTCTGATCAGCTCTCACATTATCATAATTTAGTCATTGGATGATGTCTTTTGAACAGTACAAATCGGGAAAGTGCAGTTTAAAGGCTTCCAACGGCATATATAAATCAAGTAGTCAAAATTCGGATTTCATACCAGCTCAAAATTAGCAAAATAGACTGTCACCAAGGCGTCGTCTGACAAATTTGTTACACTTCTTCCTCTCATTCCTTATTAGCTGACTCCAGTCCAGCAATTCTCGGCCCACTCTACGTTATGCAGTTCGGACGAGTGGATTTTGATACACATAGACATGACTAAAAATATATATGAACCAACTTCATTGATAGACACCAAGCTTTATATGTGATGAAAAATCAATCTCGAAATGATATTCAGGCCATAGTGTATCATAAACCAAAGACCATGGCACATTGTCATTCGACTAAATCTAAAGTATTTCAAATTTTATGAGCATCACGAAGAAATTTCATTCGACTGGACATGAACATATTCACCACATGTTACACTTCCGTGGTGAAGTGTTTTGAAAAATGAGTGTATGCCACAAGCATCTTTTTGACATTAGAACTAATTTATATGTGCAGTTCTAGAAATATTGGTTATACCATATCCAGCTTGACTTATGAAGTTTAAGTCTTTTCTCTGTCCTGCTTCGGATTAGAGGACAAGTTCACTATGATATGTAATTACAACATGGAACCTATCACAAGAAGTAGTGCCCATAGTTTTAAATGATTTATTCAGGTGAAAACCAAAAGTCGTTAAACGCTTACTGGAGAAAAGTTTCACAAGGTTCTTAGCTTTCACCCTAAAAAGTTGATGCCACACTAAAACTTGAGTTTATTTGTATCCATTGAAAAATATGTTTATCAGTACATAGCTCGAAATTAGTGTCTTATAAATTTCAAATTCTGTACGCAACCGCATTCATCTACCATCCAAGTGATCAAATTCTTCCTTTCTCTATTTTGTCTGTAATCTGCCTGGAATATAAATGGTTACCATTGTTGTTTGATTTTATCATATCACATAGATCTCATCTATGAATTGACTCAAATATATGTTATTTCAACTTTCCCCCATCCTTCCTTTTTTATTTCGGTATATTTTTCTTTAATTTTTCGAGTGCCACGACCATCCTGCATTCAGAACGCCTTTACGTACAAGTGCTATATTTTATTATTGAACCATCTGTCGTACGCCTGTTTTATGAATGACATATAGGAATGTTTGCACGCAGTTGTCACTAAATTTCTCATTTTGTACTAGACTTACAAAATAAGAATAACAACACTTCATATCAACATGTGGGTAAATGAGTGACATTTCAAATGTTATTTCAAGGGTCACAATACTTTCTCCTTAAGCAAAAGTGTGTTTGTAAAATAACCCCTAGTCACAAATTAGTTAACAGTACCATAATAATTTTACATAAAATAAGTACTTCATTGGCTCTATATCTGACTCCAGTTGGATAGCATGATTGATTGTTGTCAAAATACACAACCTGGCTTTCCTCGTATAAAATTATCGATTTAACTCGCGTTAGTGAACAACGAAACCAAATAAGTCAAATACGAGAATGATGTTTGAGTGCGAATATTCCATACAACCTTTGAGCTGAACAGATAATTAGGGAAATGTAGCGAAGAGGAGAGTGAGAAGCGAAATGATGCGCGATAGAGAAGGCATGAAAGACATCTCCATTTACTCAAGCGTTAATCAATTTTTATGGCCAGATAAAAATAGGCTACAGACATATGATAAATAGGATAAGAAGTATACACACGTACGCTCATATAAAAACAGTCAAGGTTGATAATCTATTAATTACCAAAGTCGAAATGCAAACTGGCCTATCCAGAAGCTAAAATAAGTTATTAGGCTTAACATAGTAACCGACATTACAATATAAGGGTACGGATGGTACAGTGTGTTCGAAACATTTTACGAAATATTACTATACATACCGACATGAACAGTAATTGATTTTCTAATTTATTCACTCTGACATCAAAATTTCTTCAATTTTAGTGGTTCGTCCGTTTCTAAGCACAAAATACTTAAACCACTAATAATTTAAGCTATTAACCAAACATTATTTTCATGAAACTTTATGTAGTCCATCAGAATGTATCTGTACTAAATCATTCTTGATTATTATAATCCCAATTTGTCTAACTCCTACATAATATTGACGAAGATCTCGGCCTTAACGTGTTAAAAGTCAAATATTTTGTAATTATTAAATGTATTTCCTGATCACTTGCTGCCACCGTTTTATTTATTTTTTAGTTTATCACTATCAGTAGGACTTGTAGAATTATGGTCTACTTCGTTATTAGCACTGCTCTGATGATGTAACTGCCTAATCTGTAAGATCTTGCGTGGAAGTCACATCACTGTCTACCCTGACTCATTGTATTGTACAGTCAGTAACATGATTCACATTTAGGTTGGAGATAGAACAATATACTTGATATGAATAAAAGTAATCTTACATAAGTATGACTACGCCATTATATTGTGAGCAAGGATAAATGAACTTATAAATAATTATAAAATAGTTCTACAAACAACTGTATCAAAAAATACTTAACAACATATTGTAGTGAAAACATTCATCTAGAGTTGTAACTCTCATGCACTGATTTTAGTCTACTCTTAACCCTTGTTTAAGAAAACATTATGGCTAAATAGACTGAATCTCTCTTGAAAACGGTTAGTTAGTGCGTTGCTGATCTTTTCAAGAAAGCAAGGAAAGTCACAAGTAATACAGGTAAATATGTGTGCCAACCAAAACTGTTGTCTGATTGACTTACGATTCATTAAAGTTATCAGAATCAAGATTAGAGGTTGAAAAATCACACAACCTTTTCGAACAGTAATCATAAGAGTATCGGCAAGTACTAATCAGACTTGAAGATGTTAAATGCCATTATAGCTTCCTGGCAGAACAGCTGAATCTGACTGTCTGATCAACTGCAATTCGAAAACTTGTGAATTGAGAATGACAAATTAGTAATGCAGTAGGTTTTCCGTAGTTATTCGCAGCATATATATCAACACTGTTATCGATATTTTTTTATAACATTCATCCCTCATAAAACCCAGCGACCTGTGACTTCAGTGAAATAATTTAAATGTGTGAACTCCTTCATCGACCTATACATATGCACGCAATCATAACCAACGGATGTAAGGATACGAAAAAGTGAAATATAGCCAAGCTTCCATAAATACAGACAAGTGATCTTTAACACAATAATACGCCTCGTACCTTGAGATATATAACTCTGTCACTCCTAACACAGATACCTTGTGCAATCGATCGAGAACAGTCTATCTACGATGAATCACGTTCCTGTGACGACAATTATATTGAGACTTTATTTATCCAACATCAAACCTACATAAGAATTTTCATTTCTTAGCTTAAGACGTTTAGTATAGCACACATATTATGTGATTTAGTAATCTCTCGTTCCACCTCTGCAGATCTCGAAATGATTGGCTCCCATAACCATAGAATCGCGTATAACTCATTTTTCTCACAACTAAGCGACAGTGTTGAGTGACACCAACGACTTGACAGAGTGATTTCTCAGGTCATCTGTCCTAAAGTTAATTATATGAAACTTTTTCTTTGAATTTGAATTTTTTTCAAGGACTATTATCGAAACCCGCCTAAGACAACTGTCGCGGTACCACATTGTACAATGTGCTTACCAACTGCTGCTCCTCGAAGCTTACCTGGTTGCCCAACGTATGTCGAGTCTAACTATTTTTTAATTTTTTGATTAGTCGGAGATCCTGACTTGTGCCATGAGAATCTAGGAATTTTCACCCATTGTTTTGTAAGAGTATAGCCATCTTTCACATATATGCATGTTTCTTTATCTGACATATTCGTAATAAAATCTGTCAAAACTAATATGTGGTCTAGATTATTTCTCTTGTGAATACTTTTGTTACTAACCGCTCTGATATTACAAAAGTCGGGATAGACAGGATATATGTGGTAATATTTGTGGGCTTTTAGGGTTTCTGTCCCTGTTTCTAAGATATCAATAAGATAACTTTTGATAACACGGTTTTGGTTTCTTCATGAATTAATCTAAAGTTTCAGCATGCTTCAACATAAGAACTGAGGATTAACAGTAATTCTGATCTGTCTCGGTTTTCATGATGGAGTGTAACTAAGAAATTCTTTATTGGCTTTTTTCTTGCTCATCAACGTGTGCTAACGAAGAAGAATGTATCTGGAGTGTAACTAAGAAATTCTTTTTTGGCTTTTTTCTTGCTCGTCAACGTGTGTTAACGAAGAAGAATGTATCTTTCAATCAAAGCATTGGAGGCAAATGTGTTTATCCAATGTCTAAATTTGTCCTGAAAATTAAACTGTTTGAGTGCAAAGTCAACTCACAGTTTAGGAAAACAGGTGTAAGACGGCGAATGTTTTGATCCATTTTTCCTTAGGAAATCTTTGACAGGAAGACACTTTGAAAACGGCTTTGGCAAGTAAAAATAAAGATATTTTAAGGAATTTAAAGTATGAATAACAAGTTCGCAAAGATTACGGAAGGTGAATGAAGTTTGAAAAGAATTTACTCACTAGTTTTAAGCTGGATAGTACCATATGTTCCTCAAATTTCTTTCAGGATTTCACCATTTTGCCTCAACTGAGGCAACTAGTAACTCTTTATCATTATGTGTGTCATTAGACGTCCACTGCTGCGTATAAGTTTCCATCTCGAGAACAAGCAGGAAACTCAGCATAGCTTTCAGTATTTTGAGTCATAGTTTTGCAGTCCGTGGGAAATCACGGCAGTTTTCCCTTTTCTCACACTATTTTAGTCATATTATTCTCGTGTATCTGTGTTCCACACTGTATGGTTCTAGACTATGTGGTTTATTAGTTTTTCGACAGATTTGGGATTCACTGTCGGTCATCTCAGTGAACAAATTTCTTTTGGAAGCCCCTTAGATGGGATTAGCGATATTAAACCTGTGGATCTGACCTGATTTTATAAAATTCAGTCTAGAGTGTGGTGGTATCGTCTTTTAATGTGTTAATGGGAATCCCGCTCTTTTCCGTACTTTAGCTTAAAGTAAAATGTGTGTTTGCACTTTCTTGCAATGTACTAATTTTTCCATAATGTCTTGGGATTGTTTTTTCGGCTGACCAGTATTACTTATTATTACGTTTGTAGACAAAGTCAGTTTAGCTGAGGGCGCCGTTTTTTTCTTGGGATAGTGACTATTTGTGGCATAATCCTAAAGAATTATTGCAAAATAACTCGTCCACTAGCTGAATATTGTGTAGTTAACTTGCAATGCATATGTCCACGAGCCATGTTACATGTTTACGCTCAGATGATTTCCTAGTTTCGTATTTCCAGATGTGTTTATGACAGCAACCCGATTAAATATAACTGAGGAATTCATCCTGCCACAGCTAGTTTGGGTCTATGGCCAGATCTCGGTATCTGAAGACAAGTGAAATCTAGCGCACAGTGTAGGAGGTGCACATGTTCGTGCTAATACAATTCGAGTATAGTTTATTAGTATTTTTTATTGAAACACATAAACATTGGTATGAGGAGGCACCAAACAGATATGCGCCACACAAATCATTCGATTTGTGTGAGGACTGAGATTCTGCCCTGGTGCTCCAACGGAAGCGGGTGGTTTTCTTAGAAGGCCACACTCAGAGCCTTCGACCTAAAGGTCTGGTCAACAAGGCAGTGAGGTAACATCAGGAGATGCACTCCAATGGTAGCCGGTGACCAACAATATGTCCATACGCCATTTGTTTCTTCAGGATACTGGAGCCCATGTGCACCAACAGTTTGGAACCACGGTTTTCCAACTTCCTAAAGTGGACTCCCCGTATCCACCAACCCGGTTAAAGCGCCAGATTATTCGCTTTTCGTCCTCTCAATTTCGTGAACAACAGTAATGCCGCGAGAAGGCGTTGAGTAGGACTTCACTGGCAGTGGTTGTATGCATGTGGCCATGTGAGAGCATTTTGAGAGGGAGAGCTGACCCTCCCTACTCTCGGTCGTACCAGAGCATTTAGGGTCATAGTTTATTAGTGATTGTACATTATCAACTAGTATGTCTCGATTGGAATCTACTTATAAAATAAACATTGCCATATGCTCGGTTATATCTGTGTTTGCAAGCTAGGAATTGCTGTTGACCAAAAAACTGAAATACGGCAACTTGTTAAATGTTTGTTTGCTTTGAAAACAAGATTTATTATAATCAAAACGTTTGCTATGAATTTCATGTGTTGTGTCATAATTCTTATTAAAGTAGTTGATTGTTCTCAAGTAATGACAATGTTGTGGATCTGTCACTTATATTCTCTTCTCTTCATGCAATTCCAGTTGCCACATGTTTTATGCTTGGTTGCATACTATGTAGGAAAGATCCATTTGATCCTATCATCTTCACCTGCTACTTATCATGAAGTTGAATTGAACCCCTCTAAAAATGTGTGATCAGAGTTCGATGTAATACGTTTAGTTTCAAAAGCGTATAATAGATGTGTTCCTGGATTTTGACAATTTAAAAGTAGTTATTATTTAAATAATGTCAATCGTTAGGTATGGCAACTTGGACCGATGCATATATGTGCCTGGTCCTACGTTGTAGCTGACTGACTGACTGACAATCGTTATCCCGATTATAATTGTAAATCTGGACCACATAAGCAAAGAAATATTATCATGCAGGTTTTCATACGTTATAGTTGTTACACATAAACCTTTAGCAATCAGATTACATTTTGACAGGTGGTTGAATTCAGAAAGTAATCTTCAGGACCCCCAAAGTGAAATGTTAGAAAAATAACTAATGATGTTCATTCTTCGTTGAACTATATACGGATACTATTTAACCAGTTTTTATGTAAGAACCATCTGGTATTTAGGTTAAACAGCCCGTACATAATTCAGAATTTGTCCGTATTTTTTTTACAGTGGACTATAAACTGTAGAACCTTTTGATATTTGACAAAGTGCACAATCATTTAGTATGTTGATATTTGAACTTTTATGGAATGGATATTGGAATCATGCAATATCTTATCTGCTTTTGCACATAGTCCTCAGTAGAGCAAAATGGAACACAAGCATTGTTTATAATAGAATGGTGGCGTTTTCTCTTATGTGACAATGAATTTATCTAAACAAATTTTGTGAATTTTTCCTTATTGTTTAGTTATTGTATTTTTATCTCAAATATTTTAGCAGAAACTACAATAAATCCAGGAAGAAAAATGCATCTTCACATGAAAAAGAAAAACTCAAAGTTGATAATCAATCATACAACCCTTCACTACCTTCAGATTATAATCCTATCATCTCTAAAAACGGTGATCTTCAAGTCAAATCAGAGAATAATTCAAAGGGAAAGCAAACTTATGAGCGTCGTGAGAAGTCGCGTATTGCAGCTAGGCAGAGAAGACATCGTGAAAATCAGGCGCTAGTCGAATTGTACTTAACACTACCGATCCAACAAAATCTGGCTGCCGATGTCCTCAAGAATAAGTGTCACAAGGTTGGACACTTGGGAGAAGATAACCCCGGGCAAATATTAAACGGTCTAACAGAATCTGGTTCATTATTAAATACTATTGGAGAGCTTGATTTCGCCCCGACTTATCGTCTTGCTACAACTATATTTAGACAACACAGCTTGTCCACACCAGTGCTAGAAAAAGCTGTTATTGTGCGCATAGCCAGCAATTCCTTATGTTTGTATAACTGGCTTTATCCTTCGTCTGAACCGGGTTAGCGTAATTTACCCACTGAAGTTTTCTTTTCCCTCTAATCCCCAACTCCGACCTAGTGTGTCAGAGTTATGAGCTGTACTTTATATATCCTTGAGGTTGGGCAAACAGAACCTAGTTCATTACCGTGTATATGAATGCAGCTTTTGTGCCACACTTGTTTTTAGTTTTTATTTGGATTTTTTCTCATAAAGGATCGTTTTACTAATTCCTCTCCTATTGAAGGATTTATGTTGACATACTTCTTCGACCCAGTCTACCCAGAACTTCCATTTTATTAAATTTTTGTCACATCATGAAACTCCACTGAAAAGTAATTGTAACAGCAGAGAGTTATATCGTAAGCATGGAAATTACTATAATGGTAAACTCCGAAATGAAGTACTAATATCTGATGATTGCCAACAGTTTCCACATGAATATACAGTTTGTACACTTAATTCAGTGACTTACCACATGGTTTCATCTTATGAATTTTAAGAAAGCAAAACAAACTGTTGTGGAAAATGAAGCCGAGTATGTAGTGGGGAATATCGTGAACAGACAGCTTTGAAAGTATTACTAACGTTAAAAGTAACGGGTACACTGAAAAGACTTAGTCTCTACGACCTACTTAGTTTTACGTGATGAATTTCACTTAGCATTATATACTAACCCTGCACCCCTCAAAAAATTTCAGGTAATTAAGCATCGTTTGTTCGGCATTTGAGTGTTAAGAATTCTAAATTTCTTTCATGTCGTAACGAACTTTTAATGTACTAGTATAATGACATATTTCATCTACTAGCTTCTTGATTCAGTTAGTGATGGTTTGGTAAGTAACTGTTTCAACCTAATGCTTCGAGAGAAATTAGTCAAACTGTTGACAGGTTATCCTGCTAACCGTATCTGTTGATTTAATTAAATGGAAATATAAAATTGCATAAAATGTTGATGCAATCAAGCTTTTTCAATAGTAAGCATTACAAACACAATAACTTGTTAAATTTCCTCTGTTTTGTTTTTACTTCTTTGCTAATCATTTAACAGATTTTTACTCGACGTCTTCATTTTACGATTGTAACAGGTTGTACTACTACCATACAACTTCGACATTTTCCACATATAATTACGTTATTTTCAAGTGTTATGAAAACTCGATAGTTTACATAAGTATCAATAAGTGACGCTTTATATGTAGTATTAATTACTCTATTACTAGTTTATTATCTTGGACCTCATTTTCATCTTTACGAAATTCAAGAGTTTACCGTCTCGTTAGTTTCATAGGAACTATAATTGGTTTTTAACAACATTTCTAGACTTTGCCTTTATTATTTTTACTTTATTGCTGTAAAAGTACATAATTCATGATTCTCAAAATAATTATAACACATAGCTGAGTTGATTCTGATAAATATATACAGTTTATATGATTGATTCAATCGATTTTCATCTGTTAATTTATGGACCTTTTTCACTATCTACCAACTAGGTGGTATTGTAAACTTTCATACAACAAGTGTAATTTACACAATAAATCGAAGTATTATAACTTTTGATTTGTTTATTTCATATTTACAGATTCAAATATCAAGCCACAAGATAAATTACCATTAGTAGGCTATCACCCAACCGAATCGGATTCGTCATCATCATCTGTTACTTGTACGGAGATGTCAGATTGTTGTGATAATACCACTGCTACTACTAATACTACTACTAGCAGTGGTGGTACCGTTGTTGGTATACATATTCCTCTAACTACTAGTAGCACTCTTTTTCCAAAATCAGTATTGAGTGTACACTCAAAATGTCTGGTTGCTATAATTGTTGATGCTACGCATAATATCATTATTTATGCTCCACCAGCATACACTGAACTAATTGGTTTATCGTGGGTGAGTATTTATTTACAAAAAAACGTGACCTTGTAAAATGTTTATGATAATAATCGGTTTTGCTTTCAAATCTCTATGTCTTTGACTTTTGTCTGTTATTAATCAAATCCTTGTTTCTACGATGATTACTTAATTTACAAGTCATTCATTGTAGTATTTATCACTGGTGAATATATTTAGTGATGCCGCAAATCTTAATCGTTTGGATTAACAATAGTGTATTATCATATATGCTGTGTCACCATTTAACTTAAGATTTGTTATTGACTTCAGAAAAAGATTGAAAGGCCTTATGGCTATCAAATAATAAGATTATATCAATCAATGAAGTTCATTATTTGTTAGCCTTAAGTATAGAATAAATGGAATTTAAAGGAATTACTATTATATGGACTTGGTTTATAAGTTTAGGTGAGTATAAATGGTTTTTCGGTTGATGTTATTTCGCAATAAAATTATTTTTAAATGAACACAAAATGTTTGTAGTTGAATTGAAAATTAGTTAGATCATAAAAAGACTGACAAAAAATAGCAAGCACTTCTGTATTGAACCAGTTATCTGCCTGTGAGGTTTCGTGATAATATGTCCTTTCTAGTCAATCAATGTTCTACTCCGATTTTTTCGTGTAGATTTTCTTTATTTAAAAATTAAAATTTGCAAGAAGCAAACAATTACCTTAACATATAACACATATTTTGCAATGGTAATACGAAATTGTTATCATCCTTTTCAGGAACTTTATTTTCTGTGCTCAATGTTTAGTTTTGAGAATTATTCTCTTAATTCATTGTATGAACTCATTTATTAAAGTTCTTAATATCAGGTGATATTACGGTATATTGCTTAATGTTCATGATCCCTAAATCTGTCAGAGTCAAACATTTTTTTGCTGAAAACAGTTTTTGTTATTACATCGTCTGAATTCCTTTTTCACTCTTATTATTTAAGAACAGCTGTATAGGGTACCAGACTGCTTGTCACACATATCATTGAGGAAAAGAAATCTGTGGCCAAAACTAAGTTAGAAAAACGTATCATACGTTCGGTGAAGTTAGTGTATTACCATACAAAACTTCTGAATCTGGTTTATGAATCTATCTCACCATTCGATCGTTTGACCCCTTTATTGTTAATTCCTACTCTGGCTATAATGAATGGATAGCTAGGTATTTGTAGGACGTAATCAGACTTCTATAGTTCTTATCATATAGTGATATCTTCAATAATCCCTGATTATTCCAAATTTACAGATTAACTAATTAACTTCACCATAATTTAGCGACAGCTCTCATCAAATTATCAGTCGATTATCTTCCTCAATCAGCTTTAGGGCAGATTCGCAGGTGTCAATAAAAAATGAATGTTGTTAACTATTTAATTTAGTGAAAAATACACTAAAGAGGTCATCAAAATTACCTGATTAATTCAGCTTCCACAAGTATTTATTGCACATTGGTGGTTGTTGTTCACCGTATTAGTCACAGTGAATGTAACTCAATACATTTTTGAATTTTTTCGGAGCCTCATCACCAAGGTTAAGAATCGGCTAATTTGCTTAGCTATCTATGTAATTACTCTAAGAAAAAAGGCACGCCTGTTTATAGTCAATAATGATCAATTACATTGATAATATGTCAAGTGAACCTACCAATGAGACCAATGGGTTATTCAGTTTAATTGTATGCGAGGTAAAAGTTAATTTAAGATTACAGCATAACGGAAGTAAAGGCGAATGTTAATAGTACAAACTATAAGTGAATGTAAGACCTTCAGTTCATAATTTTACAGAGGATTGATTTATGACGTACGAAATCTCAGCAAGTATTCAAAAATCTCGTTTAACTTTTGTCAACTTACGTCACCTATGGCTAAGGCAAGATATCCGTCTATCAATTACAGGACGAGTACACTCTGCGGCAGTTCGTTCTGTTCTACTTCACGGCTGTAAAAAATGACCATTAAGAGTAGAAGATACTCGTATAGTATTTGACAACAGATGTCTTAGAAATATTGCTCGCATCTGCTGGGATCACCTGGTAAGTAATAGCGAGGTTAGACACAGGGTATTAGGAAATGATGGTAAACCAGTTGTGAGGTTGCGAACCTTCGTCGACTGAGATGGTCGGGCCACGTGTTACGTATGCGTGAACACCGATTATCATGACGCACAATGCTGACTACTGTTGGGGATGGTTAAAAGAAAGTTAGGGGCAGTTAAACCAAATCGTGGCATCAGTCCTTGGAGTCACTAACTTCTGGTCTGTGCCATGTTGGTAGATGCAGACTAATTGGTTGGCGTCCGATCCACTATCGTAACCAATGGTTGGAGATCATGGGTTACATGGCTGAGAATCGATCATAATGGCGTCGGTGTATACACTAATTGTCTGTCCTTAAACGGTGAAATTAAAGTTGCTTCATACCTTTCTTTCTATGAACTAATTCTTGCTTCCTGTTTTATATTCTTATACACAATCCTTCTTTTATATATTACTACCATTGAAGTAACTTTTTCTATGAATTTGTTTTTCATCTTGTGCTGATGAGGTGTGGCAACTTGAACCGAAGCATATATGTGCCTGGTCCTACGTTATAGCTGACTGATAGATCACAATGATACAAGTATCTCCAACCGATAAGTCTCTAATAAGACTACATGGAAGCTGACAATTACATTACGAATTGTCATCCGAAATGCAGTTAACTTGTAAAAATCAAACAACACTGGAGAACCCATTTACAAAACCTATATACTAACAAAAACTGATCAACTCAATTTGGATATCAACAACAGAAAGGCACACATTTTTACAAGTTATACCAAAGTATTATTGTTTTATTTCTAAATATATACACCTTGATGTATTTCTTATAATTGCTCAAAGTTTCGTATTTCATGATGTAAATTTTTATTTCTTGAAATGAATATTAGGTCACTACAATCGGTTTAAAATTGAACGAATTAATTTCTCGGCAAGTATCAATAGGGGTTTCATCAGAATTAAGGAGTCATAACTGTTGCCATTATCTTCGCAATTTGCAGTATGGTAAATACAGCTCTGTTGAAAATATGATCACAAATCCTAAACAAAAGTCAGTACAATCTGAAATTGGTGATATGGAATATGTTGAATATGACCCAATAGCAATATCTAACCACACACTCAAATCAACACAGATTCATCAACAATTTGAACAACCTTTGTCGTGTGAAATGATTTGGCCATCATCCTGTGGGATAACCGATCGCCCATTGTGTCTCAGTTCTGTTTTACCGAAACCAACATCAGTGTCTCCATCACATATAGAATGCTCAGAACACTCGAACGATGAAATAAATCCAGGAGGTGTACAAAGTTTTCAAGATCCTTCTATTACAAATACATCAATTTCTAAACACATAGCGGAACAGGTATGCATAATATTATGAGTAACTGCACTTCACTATTAACAACTTGAATAAGAGAGTGGCATCTGGTCATCAGCTTTTAGCAAATAATCAGGAAGTACTAACTTATGTGAGAGTATACCAGAAGATCTTGATAGGTTGACCAAAGTTGCCTCTACATATGGTCGTCTAGCTTCTTACTTATAACGACTGGCATTCCCATCAGTTTGAAGTTATTCTATTTGGTAAAGACTCAGTTAATGTGTAGTCCTTTAAACATTTAACAATCCAGAAATGTTTAAGATACATTCCTCTTCTCCAGAAAAGGAAATGTGGCTTTAGGAAGTGATCTACATTCATGCATCATTTAATAATAGTAAACAAAGTAGTTGTGTCAGTGGATTATTTCACTCATTTCGGCATTCTCTTCAAGGTGGGTTGATGTTTGATACCGTCTCTCATATGAAATGTCCTTATGACGTTATTTGCTGAGCATATTTTTCTGGTAATAGTTCTTGAGAGTAGCGTTTATTATATTCATTTACCAATCTTTGTCGAGTACGAATAACAGTTAACTTCAGGTTTCTTATACACAAAATGGCCTACTGTTTCAAATAGTCGGTCGATTTATATTCCGAGTTTATTCTGTATGGTGAAACAATTTGAGTATGGTTTTATCAATTTAAAAGAACGTTAACTGGTGAATACATTTCATCCTAATAATAAGCTGAAAGTTATCATCTCCAATAGTAAATGTGAGTGATTAGTTTCGTTTCCAAGTCATTGATTACACACCCTGATATCACTTAGGATTTCGAGACGTTAATTTCTTATGGTTAACGTAGAGCCTGGTACAAATGTGCTTCTACCGAACTTACTATAGAATATGGATAGAGCAGGTTGTTGTTAACAGAATAAGTAGCAGCAGAGCCGAATTAAATACAGTTTCAGTGATACTGAGAATGACAAGGCACTGGAGAACGCTATTTGAGCAGAAGGATTGAATTCAAGGAATAAAAGTTATAAGAAATACTGCAGCTTGAATTCCAGGGAAAAATAAAGCGTAAACGCATTTATGCTCCTAAAATCGATCCTGAACCACTGATCACGGTCATCATGCTGACCTTAAGTAGTTGTTCTACGTCTACTCAATAATCAATAGCTTTATGAAATTCAGTTCATGTCTTGCGTTGGCCACCCTAATTTTTCTTCCAGCCAACCTTGCGCATCTGGTAGGTGGTTTGAGGCATGTTGCACATGTCCCACTTATTTCAGTAAATGAAGATTTAGTTTCATTAGGTGATTCTAACAGTGAAAATCAAGATATTCAGACCTAAAATGACAGCAAATACTAAAGATAATTGCATTATATTGTCATTGAATTTTGGTCAATTTTATTTTATCGGCTTGTTTGATAACATAACTGCTGTCAACTCAAGTTTAGTATGATGTTTAGTTTTGTCACAGTGAATTTTCGTACAAACATTTACGCATAAGTTAGCTACAGGGCTCTGTTTGTTTGTTTAAAATGTTGAAGGCATTCAAACTGTTTTTGCCACTTTTTTTTGTACACTTGAATATCTGTTTTTACATGCCGAAATTCTTCATACAAAACATTCTTAATTTTTATTATGACTAAAAACACCTTCTTACGCTTTTACCATACTAATTGTTTGTCCCACTTTGAAGGACATTATAGATCTATTTATGGTTGCTTGTTTCAACAAATCTTTAATGTATATCTCTGTCTCTACAAGCTAAGGGTATTTTAGTAAACAATCAATCCCTATCACTGTTCAGTAGATCTTCAGTACAACTCTATCTTCGTATTCTCCGTAATTTTCGAGTGATCTAAGTATGCAGTCGTTATCGATTATAATAAATATTGATCATATTAATAACAATTATAAGAATAGCTCTATTCACCATTATAAATTTTTTTGCATCAAGAAATTCTCAGGATAAATTTCGTAGTACTGCAGTAAATTTCCTTTTAACACATGCTCAAATTGTAATAATTCAAAAATTATATCTATAAATACTTTTTCGGTAGTTAGTATCTCCTACTCATCTTCAATGGTGAATTTTACGATCAGTTTAGTTGTTATAGCCATTTTTTATGCATCAGATGTTGAATAAATGAATTTCGAAGGGTAGACAAGAAGGAGAATCTATCAGCAAGTTCACTGCTTCGATATGAGATCCTCAGTATTCAGCATCGCTATAGGTTGTAAGTCTTTCAAAATAACGCGTGAGTACACACAATTAGCATTTATTATTATTCGGTTTGAAAAAATCTAAAAAAAAGATGGTTTGTTGCCGTTTCTACACAATTGTAAAATAGATGGCCCAAACGTTTGGGCTGACCATCGCATCCATAAACACTGTTTTCAGTTTGAATAGTTGAGGGGTATTCGTAACCTTTAGTAACTTACCTCAACTCGCTATTCAATAGGAACATGTATATAACCCAGTGAATTGCATTAAATGATTATGTGGGGTTTTCGTAAATGCATTTAGCAAAGTGCCCTTAAAACAACTTTTAATTACACTGTATTTAGTTGCGCATTGGTCCTTATGCTCTAATCAAAGACATTTTCAAGCACTTAAAATCATCCATACTACATAATTTTTTCATACAAATTGTTTATTCTGAATGGGACTAATTATTCCAACGCATATAATTTAATATGGTTTATTTCTGCTCTTTCGAATTTGCACTATCATATGCGTAAAATAATTAACTATAATAACAAGTTTTCGCAGTTTTGGTAGTGACCTAGACTTCACCAACTGGATCTCTGAAATCATCAAATTTTTAGGCTGTTACCAGACAAAAGTAATACTTTTCTTCTCTTTTTAAAGCTATGATAGGACAAAGTTGCAACATTTAACTATTACGTTGCATTTGCTAGTCTTTTTATATATAATTTAACTTGAGAAACCGAATAGCATCAATAGTTTTTACATACAAAAACTTGTAACCCAAAGCCAAATATACAAATTTGTCTTTTGTTCACTGAGCTGCGATTATAGCCTTAAATATCTAGTTTCCTATTATACAATGGTGAACAGGGTTATTTCGCTTTATACTAAATTTTGATGTCAGTATGGTTACGTTTAAAATTTTCATGAAGCGAAATCACTGTTTAACTAAATCAGTGTAAACATTTAGTTTCCAACGGACCCGTTTTTTTAAATCTTTACAAAAATATTCGTGTTAGTCTAATGACGGTTGATCATAAATAATTAGATTGGTCAACTTTATTCGTTGAATTTCTACTGTGAAAATACTACAATCTCCACAATTCCCTCATACTAATTCTCTGGATTTGTTTGTTTCTAATAATATTGTTTTAAAGAAATAATTTAACAACTAGAACAAAGCATTTCTCCTAATTATTTTCGTATAACATAATTACCTTATTATTGTTAGTTGTTACGAAATCTTGACCAGATTTGTAGAGTAGTTACTGTGTGTATGTATGTGCAGTTGTAGAAAATAGACAATATCTACATGTGATCAAATATAGTTATGTATTACTTCAATTTAGTACCCTTAACATCAATAAAGTAGAAAGTGGAGGAAGTTACTCAGAGAAAAGTTATAGAGCGTAAAATAAAAAGGGGTAAAGTGTTGTGTGAAACGAATGAGATACAGAACTAAAAGTCAATGTAACAATATTTTTTTGTTATTTAACTATATCTTAAGGTTGTATATATTAGATGGAAAGACAAACCCTTTTACTTTGTATATGCACTTGTATTATCTTTAGAAATCGTCTAGCTTTTACCATTCATCGAAGCTTCCTACTTTGTTATGAATCCAGGTTGACTGGTTCGATACGATATCGCTAAGTGGTAAAAAAATGTCAATTTCAGTTCTCCTTTTAAGAAAAAAAGGTGAAATGAACATGTTCCTATACTAGACAAGATAAACAATGGTCAAAAGTTTGCGTAACGTACAACCTGTTGTCATCGTGTATTACATAAAGGTCACTAGATATCCTACTTATGTTGGGACTTTGGCTAATTACCCGTTACCTGTCCGTGATAACAGTATTTCTTGGACGTTAATTAGTTCATATGTTGACGGATTTTATATCATGAATGATGTAATATAATGTGCATTCCATGTATTTGTCGAAGTTAAGCCTATTGAGTCTTTTTTTTAATGTTATTTAAATTTCCTTTTAAAGTCAGCAAACCATTTTAACCGGTTGTTGTTTGTTCGCATAACACATTTTACAGACACATACACCACCATAAATTCATCATCCTTTAGTTTTTAAAAACTATTTTGGTTTTTGAATTTTGACCTTTGCACGATGAAGGAACAGTTCTTATTTTTTACTTCACTGCTGTTATTCTACACGACTTAACATATTTTTCAAATGTGAAGTGTTTCAATGCAATCAGAGCAAAGGTATTCAGGGTTCAGAGGCTTTCGCCTTTTTATTATTATTTTGAAATTAGTTTTATAAAAATGTTTCGCCAAGCTAATGGCTCTATATCAACTGTATGTATGAAAAATGTCTTCAAACAGACATGATAGGTGAAGTGACATAAAAGCTTAATGTATAAACTTTGGTTATTAAATTGTTCGGTTGTTTATTAGCTCAGCTCTGTTGTTGGCTGTCAGATGATATTTTTAAGAAGTACATAGAAGTTAATTAATCAGAATTTTGAATTATTTTGACACTTTGTCCCACAGAAAAATTACATCATATCCTGTACAGGTGATGTGTAGTTATTGCGTAAGGCTGTCCAGACACACAAACAGCAACCATTTTATGTGCTTCTGGTAAGTCCAGTGCTTATTCTATTTGTAGACTTATCGTTGTTAGCACAAATTAACAACGGAATTTAGAATTCATCGTTTAAACACAAATTAACTATTGATATTTACTAGATTTATACTGATGATTGAAGAATGGTTTCTGTTGATGCGTTCGTAATAAAAGAAATAATTAACTCATTCATCAAATACTTGAGTATGAATCACGCTCTAAATGTGAGGACTA